TATATATATATATATATACATATATACATATATATATATATATATGTATGTATGTATGTATGTATATATATATGTATATATGTATGTATATATATATATATATACCGTCCGGTAACAGGCGATCCGTGTACCGGTCAGCTGACGGATTGGTATGTACCGCCCATACCGGACGGTATTATTCGAAACTGCATACCTTGCTTTCAAGAATGCTGCATTGGCTAGTTTTATTGGTATATATGACCATGATGTCCATTTTACTTTTGCTTGATCTAAATTCTGGTTGTCTGTTGGTCATCTGTCCATTCTTTCTGCTTTTCAACCATATGCATCCTCAGAATCCAGAACTGCTAGATTCTGAATCAACTAGATGGACCTTCAAGTGTTGGTAATCCAGGATATTATTGATTGATTGCTGTGGTTTATTTTGATTGTTTTAGAATTAGGTACAACTTTTGTTTGGTATCTTCATTCTGGTTCTGGTTTTGGATGTCAAGACAAGTCAATGTCATTCAAGATATTGATTGTTTGATGAACTTGGGATTGAAATAGTAGCTATAGGGATAGAAGGCATACAAAGTAGGATTCGAAATTTTGTCAGAAGTGCTTGTATTTTTTTTCCCCTTCTGTTGTGAAAATTAAGAAGCTTACGCATGTGCCTGGAACTTCATATTGCAGATTTCTTAGTTAGTCAGTTTTTGTTGTTTTCTGCATTTGCATGACCGCTAGATGATAGACTAGAGGACTATTTTCTGTTGAAATCCTTTGAAGAAAACTAATGCACATCATATTATTTTACATACTCATAATCTTAGTTATATCAGGATAAAATTAGTAGGCCTATCTAACCTTTCTACTTATCATTCATTTGGATAAACAGATCTTTCTGCACGCTTGTGCACAGAAGCAGAAGTCAAGCTCTACTTTAACAGTTTCATTGATAATGGAGGAACGACTAATTTCTTGAAACCCAACATAAACTGCAACTCAAGTTCATGGGTATCTGGATGTGAGCCAGGATGGGCAAGCAGAGTTAGTACAGATGCAAACGTGGATGATCAAGAATCTGAATATTTGCCTCCTAGAACTCTTGACAGTCAACCTTGTTGTGCGGGCTTTTTTTGCCCTTATGGTCTTACTTGCATGATACGTAAGTATGTTTATCAGTTGTTTTATTTTATTGCATTTCATTAAGATGCACATTTTTGTTGTTTATATTCTTTATTTTAATAATTAGTAGAATGTTATCAGCATCCTGGATGTGTTTGTGCTAGATACTCCTGTTTTTCTTTCATATTCATAATTGGAAATAGGCTGTTATCTGGGAAAAATCCAGAGAGGTCAAGTGCTCTCCCAAGACCTTGATTTTCCATGGTTATTCATTCCAGCTATTTATAAAAGCAATGTTTATATATACTCCAATATCAACATAAAGTCACTCATGTCAGTGCCAAATGTGGAGATAATTGAGAAATGAGAAGGATGATTTTTCACTGTGGTTGTTAATGTGGTGGCTTTTGTGGGATTCTTTCCTTGGCATCCAGTCTAGCACTCGTATTAATGACTGGCTCCTCCTAAATCTATGTGTTCTTCTCTTAATCCTGTAAGGTATCCCTATATTCTTGGTTGTTGTCTGGCCCACCTTTCTGCCTAAGCAAGGGTTCCTCTAAAAATTTTCCTATACCTTGACAAATACATGACTATTGAATTAGGAATAGTCCATTTGTGGAGACTTTCTCTAAAGCAGGCTCAAAATAGAAGTGTTCTTATGTATCAAATCTTAGTATTTACATGTGAATATTGCCTCAGCTTAAGCAAAGTTCATTACTTATCAAAAAGCTCAATCTTTCCAGGGTTGTATCGCCATATTTTAATTGAATATAATATACTCAAATAAAATTCAAACTTGCCACAGGTTCTGAAGCTGTATGCACGTCTTTACTCCTGAAGAATGCAGCCTTTTTTAACATCTTGTTTCAAAAGGTTTACTTTCATGACCTGAAAGCATGTTAAAATGTACATATATATTCTTCACAATGAAATACCTCATTTTAGATGGACCATCACTTCATGTTTATTAATTTTCTATTAGATGACGGGGTAAAGCATGTCGAGTAAAATTGCAGCTAATTTATTAGTGTAAACAACTTAGTTACCATGTTGGTTCTAAATTCTAATATTTTCATCACTTAATGAAGTAGGTGCATATTGCCGTCACTTCATGTTTATTAATTTTCTATTAGATGACGGGGTAAAGCATGTCAAGTAACATTGCAGCTAACTTATTAGTGTAAACAACTTAGTTACCATGTTGGTTCTAATATTTTCATTACTTAATGAAGCTTGTCCCCTAGGTGCATATTGCCCAATTGCAACACTCAACAGAACTACAGGACGTTGTGATCCGTGAGTTGATTATGTACTTCTAGGCTCCTTTACCTTCTGTTTCCATGGTAAAAATTGGAATACCTTGTTTATTTTTTAAATAACTGTGCAGATACAATTACCAGCTACCCCCAGGGAAAACAAATCATGCTTGTGGTAGCGCAGATATTTGGGCTGATGTTGATCATAGTGGTGATCTATTCTGCCCTGCAGGATACTACTGTCCAAGCACAATTCAGAAAATTAATTGCAGTAGTGGGTACTGTTCACATCCTACCTGCTGGATACCTTCTAGTTTTAATTCTACGCCTCTTGTGGTTTTAGTAGAACTAAATGTGGTTATTGACAGTGTTCAGATTTTTGACCGTATCAGTGAAATATGGATCTGTATTTACTGGTTCGACCAAGCATTAGTTTCAAAATATATAGCTCAATGCCAATATCTCAATTTGTAATTCATTTTTATGATTTTATTTGATGATACTAGATGAGAGCGGGCCTTGGTGGAATGATAAGATTGCTCCTTTGTGATTTGAGAGATCAGGATTCGAGTCACGAGAACAACTATTCTATATTTAGAGTTAAGAATGCGTACATTAATTTTTCCTGGACCCCGCATGGACGAAAGCCTTGTGCATTGTGAATAATACCATATAGTACCATATTAATTAGATGGGTTACTGAAATTGGTACGGGACTAATATTTTAAATTCTTGGTTATTGATGCATTGATGACTCTTCCAAAATGTTGAATATTCTCCCAAAAAAGATGATTATCATGAAATCTTTTGCTACTTTTGGTTCTTGTTTTCTGGTTTAGTTTGTCGTTTCATTACAACCAACTTTGTATTTGCATTTTTCAGACACTATTGCAGGATGGGTTCTACTTATGAAACAAGTAAGTTTTTCACTGTTTTATTGCTTAGAATTTTCTATATACTTGACTTTTCATTTTTGAAAATAATTATTTTGGTGATCAACTTAATAAAATTGTGTATACATATTACAGATATTTTTCATTTTTTCACTTTGATGGTTCATGTTCTTGAAAGCTTTTGAGATGATGCAATAAATATGATAGAACATGGCTATTTCGCTCTGCAGCTTCATATGATTAGAGAGGCCAGCCTTGTGCATAAGGCTTCCATCAATGTGAGGCTTGAAGAGGGTCATTACAAGTACAGTTTCATTTGACTAATTATTTAAACTCTAATATGACTAGGACTGCAATGGCACCCTTTAAAAGAATGAACAACTTTGTTTTTGCTCGTACATGATCAACATGAATGGTTCAACCTATAAATGTAGAACATATGTCATGTAACCATATTAAAGCGATATCATGTGATGGACTTTCTCTTGAGCATCTATTTTCTGTAAATTTTTTAATACATTAAACTAAAGATCATCGTTTCGATATAACTACTGTTGAAACTTTTTATCTAAAGTTTGTCATTCGCAGAATTGTGAAAGACTAAGGAGCCAACATGTCTTGTAGCTTAGGCACAAGGCAAAGGCATGGAACATTTTTTATTGAAGTGAGGCACGGAGCATGAGTACTTGTAAAATAATCTTAAAGATGGAATATATTAGGTGCCGAGATGTGATAGTCATTTATTTTATCTTAAGATGCTTTGTCTCAATAGGTGTTAGGTTAATTGTGAGATGCAATAACACAAAGATGTGCAAAAGAAGAGAGAGGAAGCAGTTAAAAGTATATTAAGATTACAGGAAAGGAAAGAAACAGACCAAGGAAAGGGAAAAAAAAGAAGACAAGAATGACAACTATTGTCAAACCCTATTGTTTGTTAGTTTATTTTCCTTTCCAAAGAAGGAAAAGTGTTCTTATTGAAGTCAATGAACACGATTTTTACCCTTTTAATTGTAAATATAGGCAAAGTTAGGAATTATAAAACTACATATTTTATATATTGCACTCTTTGGAACAGATCATGAAAATTGCCTATGGGCACATGCCTTTAGTGAAGGATATAAGCCTTACTTGAGGCAATGCTCAAAATCTTAAGCTTCAAGATCTTCATGACATCAGCACACCTTTGCCAAGTACTATCATTTACACTTCTCTCTGATTTCCTCCTAGATTCTTGTTAAATAGGTATTAATAGCTAAATTGCATTTCTGAAATTCCAGAGAGTTTTTAAACCACAAGTTATTTTGGATTATAGCCCAGAGCCTTGGATGGATATCAAAATAACCACAGACCCTCGTATTCTTTAGTTTGTATCAGAATAAATATTTAAGATACAACTAGAAAATGGTTGTAACATGTGATGTTACAATCCTACCCAACACTCAGTAGTTGATGATACTTCAGTCCTTCTGTTAAGTGACTTGCAGTTGTCAATGTGCTCACATATTTTTCCCAGGAATATGGAATGTTCATGGTCATTGTGTGAATATGGGATGGGAGATGCAATTTAGATTGGGTAATGGCCACGAATAAAATACTGGTAAAACTAATATCTAAAAATAGATGTTTAACACAAGGTCTGCAATATCGAATTATACCGCCTGGTACGGGCGGTACGTATCGGTCCGACAGGCTATCGGTACGCAGACCGCCCGCTACCGGGCAGTACGTTCAAAAAAACCATTTCGACCATTATCGCCCGACACAACTCGGTAACAGTCGATTTCGACCATTACCCCATGGTACAACTCGATAACGGTCGATTTCGATTGTTACCGCACTGTAGCAGTGCTACAGTGCTTCCCTTTCTCATTCTATTTAAGCCATTCTTCTCCCCTATTTCATTATACTCTCTTAAACTCTCTCAAACTTTTTTTTTCTCTTCTAAACTCTACAAAACAATGATTTTCGAAGGGTTTAACAAACTGAAATCAGGTGTACCGCTTGGTACACCCGTACCGAGCCCAGGTCGAAACACCGGTATGGTACGATATTGCGAACCTTGGTTTAACATCTGACGACGCACTGACAACATACCATACAATTACAATGATAACAAGTGGTATGAGTTGGTGTGTCACTAACATCACAGTAGACACTGATCTGACAGGCAGTTGAAATTGGTAGTTAAACTGACATTTAAGGCCTTGATTAGAGTACATGGAGACTAAGATAGTTGGTTCATTATTTTGGGTCGTGGCATGCATTTGCATCACCTAGTTATTTACCATGTTAGCCTGTTAGGTATGATATTTTGGTCTTGCTAAGTCAGGCATGTATTTAGATGTGTTGAGCAATAAGGTTATTGCTTGTATTGTTTTGATCTTTTGTTAATGGAATCTTGGGTGGGAATGCCTTATTTAGATGCCTAGTTTGGGTAAATATACAAAATCTTTTATCAGAGCCCTAATGTTCCAAATATTTGGGGTTGATCAGGGATGCAAAACTATTACGAATCAAGATGTAGATACTATATCATGATTACAAAAGTGGTACCATGTTGCCTAGTTTGGCTTTGATTGGTATGCATCATCACTGCATGCAATTTATGCCTCAATCACGTGGATCAGCATTTACATCTGTCTTAACTCACTATATTGGGGAAGTGACTTGGCATGGAAAAACAAAATATTATGCTACCTCATGGGGATGCACAGGCTTGACAATTGAATATTGTTATTGCATGTAAACCTGAAATTAAAAAAATTCAATCTCTTTGCTCCTTGAGCTTTGGGTTATCTTACTTGCAATGTTTTTCTGTAGGATGCTGAAAATGATTGGAGTTCCCATGACGTTAAAAGAGTCATGGCATGGACTCATTTGTAAATGATGATGTATTCCTGACTCTATGTGGATAAATAGAGGCTTGGTTGATGAATCCACTTGTTAAAACAATCCGTAGTTTGATAATACCTACAATATTATCTTCTGTAACTCAAAGAACTTTCTAGTTTCTTTTATTTTAAGAATAACATTTAAAGAAAGTAAGATTAAAAACCTTGTTTTATTTTAAGAATATTTTTTTATTCACATAAAGTCAAGTGCCATTAACTATATTTGTTTCAGAGGTAATGAAATGGAACCTCCAGATTTCCATTAATATAGTCAGGAAAGATAACTCAGACAAAAAGAAAAACAAGATTAAAAAAAGTGCTTCTGAATACATGCATATGAATACTGCTTCATTTGTTACTTAATGCAACAAAGTTGATTAAGTCAAAAGTTGATTTGTAGGTTGCTTGAGGTCAAGTTCATGTCATTCGAACACAGAGAATCAAAATATTACTATCATTGGTGCTTTAGTAATGGTAAGTAATTCAGGTTTTCTTGAGGCAAGTTTTCATTCACATTTTCTTTCTTCCTAGTGTCAAGAAGCTCAGTTCATTCTTTGGCCTTTAACAGCTCTGCACTAATGCCTAACTGGTCTTGATCTAATTAAAACTAAAAGTCTTCTGAGTCATACTTACATGGAAATATTTTTTTTTAAAGGAAATCTTGAATGGAAATAGTTCACTATTTTCAAGTTTGATATTGGTTTTTGGTCTACTGGAATCCTGATTTGTAGGTTGCTTGATGCCAAGTTCATGTCATTCAAACAAAGAGAATCAAAATATTACTATCTTTAGTGCTTTACTAATGGTAAGTAATTCGGTTTCTCTTGAGGCAAGATTTTGTTCATGTTTTGTTTCTTCCTAGTGTCAAGCAGCTCAGTTTTTTGGCCTTAAACAGCTCTGCACTTGTCTTGATCTACTTAAAACTAAATTCTTCTGAGTCTTGCTTGATTGGAAATATATATTTTTTTAAAGGAATTCATGAATTGAAATGGTATTGGTTTTTTGACTGCTGGAATCCTGATCCATAAGCATTTTATCCTTGATTCAGAAAAAATTAATTTCACTTTCTTAATCAAAAAATTTTGGTCATGGATATGACTTTTATGTCATTAACCTTTATTCCATGTATTTTCTATGATACTTATCTGTTGTTGGTTAATTTTACATTGCATTTATTAAGTATTGTTGATAATTAACTTGCATGATATCTTGATAATCTATCTAAAACAAATTGCACATGATTGCTATGCTTTGTCCATGCATTATCACTAACAATTAATGCAAAAAATAATTTATTGGAATGATGTGTTGATTTGCATTGGAATGGATTATAAAAATGGGATTGGGTTATACAAAAACTTGTCCAACCTGACCAACTTGCAACTTTAGACAAGCTTTTGATGTGTAGCTAATTGAATTGCTGATACCTATGCATAACAAATTTCTACTAGTTATTCTAGGAACTTGGAAAATACATTAAATCACGAATACAAATATCATGGTATCCACTGACCATGTCATAATGGGCTAACTGTTCTATGACCAGTATGCTGACATTTCAATTGATTTTTTTCATTTTTTAAAGTGAGATACTGGATTATACTGTACTGCAAGGACTGCTGTACTGTGCCGATAGGTGGTATCGGCCCATGCATGGAGTGGTACATGTCACTTAGCCATATGTCGTATGCCGGTATTTACTTTTTTTTTGGAAAAAAAAGTCAGAAAAAGGCCAAAAAATAAAAAAAAAATCTTTTTTGGAGTTTTTAATCCTATTTTGATGATATTTTTATTGTATTTAAATCAAGGTTCTCAATTTCGATCAGTACTAGTGTACTGAGCCCTGCTTGATATGGTACGTATTGAAGCGTATCGATGGTACGCCCAAAAAGAGCTAAAAAACCTTTAAGAATACCTGAAGGTAATGGTCCAAATATATTGGGGTGTATCGATAGGTATGCCTTAGTAACGGTCAAAATCTAGGATGTACCAACCAGTATACTTCGATAACGATCGAAATCCGGAGCGTATCGATCGGTACGCCTCGATAACGGTTGGATTTCGTTTGTTACTGCTCGGTATAAACCCCATAACGCCTTATACAGGGTCAAAACACTGGTATTGCCTGGTAGAGGGTGGTCCGCGTCAAGATTTGAAATATCGTACCGTATCGACGTTTCGACATTCGTTCGGTACGGTACGATACAATATACCGAGTGGTATACCATTCGGTATACCACTCAGTATATGTATATATATATATGTATATATATATATATATGTATATATAATTCAGGTGGTGATGTCATCTTTAATATATATATATATATATATATATATATATTGCTGTACTGACATACCATGGCAGTCCAAGAGAAAACAATAGTGGGATTGACATCTGAGATTTAATTCCTCGGTTTCAATATTTATCTATCATAGGATCATTTGCTCCTGCTAGTATTTTGTTAAATTTAACAAACTAAATCTAATGCTTGGTAATTGCTTCTGATTTGGGACCACAGTAAATAAGCAATAGGCTCTTAGCTCAAGCTGAACGTTTGAAATTTTGATGCAGTATGCTACATTTACTACCAAAAGTTGATCTTATGTGGACAATTGGTTCTGCTAACCATTTATAGAAAAGAAAACATAGCTTTCTGAAAGGACTTCGCAGTTAAACAAAAGAATGGGGAGAGTAGAAATTTTGGAAATGCAAATTTCTACCTTTATGCATCTAGACTTTATCATCAAATTGTAGCATGGAGTTGAAACTTTGAAAATATATATTTTTGTAATTATTCCCATAGTAGATGGTTCTTGGTTACTACTGGAGGAGATCTAAACATACAAATTACTCTTGGGAGTTTCAGTGCCATAAATCCTGGGTGTTCATCCTCCAAAGAAAATATATGTTTAACCATGTAGGCTAATAAAAACATAAAATTCTTATAATTGGATGTGCGAGTGGGAACATATGCTTACATAGACTCTTGATGCATTTACGATCAGAAAGTTTGTGGATACTTAGATCTACTACACAAACAACTGCAACAAGCCATAGCTGGAACTTTATGGCTTCTTAATGTTGTTGTTTTGTAGTGTACTAGTTCCAGATATCTAATAAAGTTTTGGTTGAGTGTAAGATACAATCATGTCTGATTTACTTTTGTTGACTGTTCTTCTAAGATTTATTAAGTTATACTAGTGTAATTATCATTTGTATGTTCTGTACATTGTCCCTCTTGTACAAGGCACAGTGTAGGAAAAGAAAATTTTTTGCTGAAGAATCTTTACTATGATATTAAACATAAAGTGCATCACATCTTCTACAACTTTTGTAGGTTGCATTGGTTTTGTTGTTATTCATTATCTACAACTTCTCTGACCAAATTCTTGCTCATCGGGAAAGAAGACAAGCCAAATCGAGGGAAACTGCTTCAAGGACAGCTAGAGAAGCTGTTCAAGCTCGTGAAAGGTGGAAAGCAGCAAAAAATCTTGCAATCAAGCATGCAGTTGAAATTCAAGGTCAGATATCTCATACATTTTCATTGAAAAGATCCAAAAAACAACCAGAACCACAGAAAGTTCTTGGTCTTTCTAGGTGGTCATCTGATGCATCAATACCAGAGATTGAGGAACCAAGTATACTTAGTAATATGTCACATTCATCTGAAAAGATCTCTGGTAGTTCAGAAAGTGTCCATTCAAATACTGGAGACAAGAAACCCAAAAAGAATGCAATGAAAGACAAACATATGCATACTCGTACCCAAATCTTTAAGTATGCCTACAGTGAAATTGAAAAAGAGAAAGCGCTGCAGCAGGAAATAAAGTTGACCTTTTCAGGAGTAATTTCTATGGCCAGAAAGAATGAAATCAGAACAAGACCTCTCGTAGAGATTAGTTTCGAGGACCTAACTTTAGTTCTTAAAAGGAACAAGAAGCAACTTCTGAAGAATGTGACAGGGAAACTTATTCCTGGCCATGTAACTGCAATCATGGGCCCTTCCGGTGCAGGTAAAACCACCTTTCTTTCTGCTTTGGCTGGAAGGACAGCTGGATGTCAGATGAGTGGCTTAGTTCTTATAAATGGAAAGGTTGAACCTATACATGCACATAGGAAAATCATTGGTTTTGTGCCGCAAGATGATATTGTTCATGGAAACTTGACAGTGGAGGAAAATCTTTGGTTCAGTGCTAAGTGTAGGTAAGGGACACATGGCATGCACAGATGAATTCTCATTTAGTGAAAATCTTTACCTTCAATGCTATATGTGTAACTTATGAAGTTTATAAACTCTTAATCCTATGAAATACATTCTATTTCTCTTGTGTTACCATTTATGAATCCTACAGAAAAATACATGCATACACATTTTACAGATTTTGTGCCTATTTTTCTAATTATTTTAGGCAAGTAGTTTACAAAATCTTGACGCTTATAAGTTGAAGCAAAAGGATATACTGGAATTAGTGATTTGAGGCATATTTTTTCTTACATGGCATTACTCTTTAAACTTAGTGAGGACATACCCAAGGAAGCATAATGTGCCTTGAGTGAAGCTTGCATATATTTGATTTTCTTGATATTAGCATTCTTAGCCTCCAAGCGTAGATACTAGTCATGGTACTGGTACATGCGGGGTGAAATTCATCTGGCCATATAGGTCGGGACCAATTAATATTCATTTTTTATATTTTTCAGTAATACAATACCATGAGACTGTTATACCGCTCGGTATACTGGTACCAATTGTTCAAACTGGGTACCAAAACCTGAAACAGGTGTTAGATGAGATAAAATCTTTGTTAGCATAAATTGGGAAGTTCAAAAGTGAAAAAACATGTACTTTAACCATTAGGTAGACTGCTCTAAGAAGTTTGTTGATAACACATACAACCATGTGGATCAGTGAGCTTTTATTTTCACCTTCATCAAAGCAAAGGAAAAGCATGACTACCCTTAAATTCTTATTGTAATAAGGAGCAACAAGGTGACATTTCAAACTTGAGAACTAAATGCATAATTCAGTTCGTGGGTTACTGTAGTGGTTCTCTTTTATGGTGGGTCAACTTTTCTAGTCTCCTAGTTAAGTATAAGCTTGTTAATGTTTCTGAATTGGCAGAAGATTAGCAGTGCATTTTAACCTTTGTTTCCTTCTTGTCTATTGCATCTTTCTTTTCCCTCAATATCATCTTTAATGCAGATCTCTTCTGCATTTTTTTATCTTTGTCCCCTTTATTATATTTTCTATTATTAGGTTTATTGATCGACCTGATGTAATTAGAGCCATTTATACTGGTACTAATTGTTTGAACTTGTTACAGAAACCTGAAACAGGTGTTAGAAGATATAAGATCTTCGTTAGCATAAACTGGCAAGTTTGCAAGTGAAAAAACAATCTATTTTTTAAATTAAGGGACCTTATTAGCAATTTAACGTGAAGTTTTATGTGAAGTAATGCATTAGAATATGGTAGTGTTTTTATCTTTCCCTCATATCATCTTTGATGCAGATCTCTTCTGTACTTTTCATCTTTGTCCTATTTATTATATTTTCTTTTATTAGGTTTAGGATCGACGTGATGAAACTAGAGCCACTTAGATCTTGTTTTTAGATTATGATGCAGTTATTTTCCTGTTTTCCAAACTCTTCTAATTAAACATTTAGAAGGCATTGCTATCCAAGTATACGAGTTGATATTTTGAATTTGATTATAACAGCATTGCAATATGACCTATTCATGATGTAATTTGCATACTATGTTATATCTTACATGTCTCAGCTTTTGCACTTAGATCATCATCTGTATTGGTATTCCATCTGATATTAAGGGAATACCATTTTATCATGGCGACAGTCTGAACTCTGGATGTCTACCAGAATTGGTTGAAGATAACAAATTTATTAAACATCTCCAGCTTTGTTGTTTGTTTCCTTTTTTTGTATTTTGTATATGGGCATATGCATGTGGATTTCTTTGGAGATCTAGTTTGGTTGAGGATTACAGAAAGAAGTGTGAAACTGGAACTTATTCCCCTAAATGAAGGGTCACAGCTTATGCTTAACAGTGGGCTAACTTTACTGCACAATTCATGCAAAAATTGAATGCTTTATTTATTCGTCTTGCTCAAACATTTATTTTCACGTCAGTGATTATTCTGATGACCAATCTTTACCACCTCCTGTGTGAGATAGAATGGTAACAAGGTATTTCATGTCCCACAGCTTCAGAATATTCCTTTAGATTTTCGTTGGTGTATGCTTTCTATATGAAGAGATGTCATAGAAATCACTAGAATTTCGAATTGTTAGGTTCATGCAGGCAAAGTGGATCAAATGCTCTTTCCTGTTACACAGGACTGGGTGTCAAATTGAGCATTGATAGCAAAGGATTACAGAAATTGAAGATATCAGGTCTGCAATTCCTTAGATTATATCTATCCTTTACTCTTTAGTAATGCTTGGAAGCGAAGGTATTTCTGGAAGCTCTAAAAGATTTAAACAAAATCCTTAGTGGGCATATGCAATATGTTGTACCACCTTTGTAATGCTCACATAGACATATCCAGTTCTCTTGCATGATCCGTTTTGGTCATTTTACTGTTTCAGACTGTCCTATCCTAATTGACAAGTATGGTTTAGACTTGGAAAAGATCATTTGTTCAGTCGTCAACGCTTTGGCCATAGACATGTTGAGCATGTGAAGTGAACTTTGTCGAACAAGGATAAACTGTTAGTGCACTAGTGACCGTATAATTGTCCATAGGTTCTTAGTTCTGTTGTTCAGGTACATATCTGTATATGTCTCTTTAACATGACATTGAATTTGGACATTAAATCATTCTACCAGCCTTTAGAAAGTCTCATGATACTACTTTTATTCATTTGATCCAACATCCCGACCATCTTGGCAGCACTGCTGAAATAAGTTTCAATTATCAGATTTTTTGTAAGCATTTGCTCACATGTACCAACTACCAAGATAGGGTATAGGGTTATGATTATTACCACTCAAATTTCAATGGAAAAATCTGGAACTCTGTCTTAGCTCATACCGGTGCTTCTTCTGTGTTTTATATGTGTTGCACTCACCTTCATATGATGCATGCTTGTTTCGTTCTTGCAATTTGTTCACATTTTGCATTTTTCTTTAATCATTATGGTTGCCTTTATCAGGTTAAACTTATATTCTTTTTCTCTTTTCCTATTAATATGATTGTGTCAAATTGCATCTATTGCTTATTCTGTTATATTTTCCTCATTCTAGAGGGCATTAAACTATCAAGGTAAAATTTAATTCTTTTTTTTTTTGTTTAGACTTTCCACAGGTATGTCAAAAGCTGATAAGGTTTTAATTGTTGAAAGAACTATAGACTCCTTGGGGTTGCAAGCAGTACGGAATTCCTTAGTTGGGACAGTAGAGAAGCGTGGAATTTCTGGTGGGCAGAGAAAGCGAGTAAATGTTGGGCTTGAGATGGTCATGGAACCGTCTCTTTTGATGCTGGATGAACCAACATCAGGTTTAGATAGTTCTTCATCTCTGCTGCTACTTAGAGCCCTTCGTCGTGAGGCAGTTCAAGGAGTAAACATCTGCATGGTTGTTCACCAGCCCAGGTTGGTCCCGAAGAATATAATATCAATGTTATCATGTTTCCCTTCATTATGTTTCCGATATATGCTAACACAGGTAGAATTAACTCATGCATAAGATGCATAAAATGTTATCATGCATGGCAAAACTAGATTCATTTTGTGGAACATTGCTAGAGAAGCCACAAAATTGTACGATGTGCACGTCATACAATATAATCATTGTTTCTGCTTAACTAGATTTGTAGACAATTTATTATCAGGACCCTCAAGTACTAGCCACCTTATGTAGACACTTTGTAGTTGTGGTATTTAGGTTTATAATCTGATCTTTTTCTAAACCAGTCAAAGAGGGTTTTTTTTAATCACAAAATTCTCCTCAACTTTAATTTACTTGCAATAGGCTATTTTAGTGATCTTGAAGTTAACAACCCTAGTTTTGTCATAATATATTTTGGTGGTATAATTGACTCCTTAGCTTCATGTGCATAAACCACTGGTTCAAAATACTTATGCACAAGTTAATGAATCGAGTTCTTAGAAACTAATTCAATTATTTTCCCACTTCTGATGTGAGGCTTAACCGGGCATATTTCATGAAGCATGAAAAGATACTAGGGAATTACTTAAGCATGAAAAGTCACAACTTGTCAAGGGTTAACCATAACAGTATGGAAGGGATATCTAAATGAAATTAGTTTTGGTGGATCTCTCATTTGTTTCATAGAACTCATATGTTGTCCTATTATTGACAAGACATTATGTGCATAATCATGAGATAATTGTTAGTTCTCTTCAACTATTAAAGCCATTCATAGTAATCAGTTACTATCACACTAATATTGAGTTGTACTTTCTGCTTCAGCTATACTTTGTTCAACATGTTCGACGACTTGATACTTTTGGCCAAAGGTGGTTTAATTGCATATCAAGGCCCAGTGAAGAAAGTTGAAGAATACTTTGCAGGCCTAGAGATTATGGTCCCTGAGCGTGTCAACCCTCCAGACTACTTCATTGACATTTTAGAGGGTATAGTGAAGCCAAGCACATCAGTAGGTGTTAAATCCAACCAGCTCCCGCTTATATGGATGTTGCATAATGGGTATAATGTACCCCCTGATATGCACAATGAACTCGATTCTGTTAACGCATCAGTTGAAAGTAGAACATGCTCTGCTAGTGTTGGTTCAGATGAGGATTCTGGTGCTGCAAATGTTTGGAGAGATTTAAAAGGTGGCTTCGAAGAAAAGCGAGATTACTTAGAGCATAATGTTTCAAAATCAAAAGGTTTAGCAAACCGAATAACTCCTGGTAAATTTAAACAATACAAATACTATCTTGGGAGGTGAGTTCATATACGATTGAAGATCTTTTAAAAGTTCATGCATGTTGGGTCTATCTAGAGCATTACTTGTCTCTTATGTTGCTGTTTGTAATGGAGTCATGAACATTTGTTTGCTAAAGGATAGACTTGTCACTTACAGGGTCTCCAAACAGCGCCTGCGTGAAGCTACAACACAAGCTGTTGATTATTTGATCCTTGGTCTTGCTGGAGTCTGTTTAGGAATAATCACTAAAGCGAATGATACAAATTTGGGGGCAGCTGGTTATACATACACTGTTATTGCTGTTTGTAAGTTAGAGATAATTGCCACTTTTGACATGCATTTTCTTTGCAATAAGCATAGTATTGTGAATTTTTTTTTACCCTGCTCAAGGTTATTTAGCATAACAAGATAATTTTAGATCTTGTTGCTTGATTAAGGAGTACAATCCAAATTAGCTAAATGCTAGAAGATAAAGAATAGTTATCCAACTTGTGAGATGTTGAGTTCGAAATATTGAGACCAAGTCATACCAAGTGCACTTTTCATCATTGTTGATTCCAAGGATTAGTACTAGACTATATTGGTCAGTTTGGTCAATATTTAATTTTTTGATATCTTCCATTGGTACCAAATTTTTTGATATCTTCAATATTTAAAACCTTGGTTAAAGCAAACCTTTTATTTGTGTGATTTCATTTGATGCGGCACTTATTGAGAAGGATACATAGGATAAATGTTGTTTGGGAAGGTTAAGTCAGTTGAGTACATTAGCACGGTGTTTATGGATGTAGCTTAATGTAGGAGAAAAGGAAAAGAATCTTGAATACCAAGTTGACATTGGCAGTAGAGGTGATGGATTTCTAGAGTGGATGTGCTCATCACAGAGTGAAGTTTGGAAGAAAAATTTGCCAAAATTTCTGGATGGACGTAATATTGATCAAATTGGTACATTGAAATTTAGAATTTTCAACAAACCACTTTTGCAAACAATCTATACAATATATATATGTATATATATAACACTGTAGATTCCCCTGCTTTTATTCATAGGTATACATATATATATATATATATATACATATACATATGTATGTATATATGTACATATATATATGTATATATATATATATATACATATATATATATATATACATATATATATATATATATAAAAAGAAGTTATTGCCCTTAAATGGGAAATCAATCTACAATGTTAAGGTAGATTCTAGAGCTAAAGACAACAAAATGAAGATTTGCAAGTTTGAGTTGAAGAACATTCGCCAAAAGGCTTCGATAATTGAAAGAAAAAGAGAGTAAAAAAGGTCTAACTTACTCAAGCTACTAAAACTTTCTTTAAACTAAATATTTTCCAACATCATTATCCTTCCTCAGGATAACACATGATGAGTGGATTTCTTTCCCTTTGGCTATATATTCTCTTTTGACTCTCGGAAAGGGTGCATTAGTATATATCTCTTTTTGTCCATGCATATGTAGTACAGGTGTAATGACAAATTAGAAGTGTGGCCATGCATACACAATTTCTGTGTCTATTGGCAGTTTAAAGAATTTTGGATAGTGTTATATGATTACTTCTGGGAATTTACTATACATTCTTTCTTAATTTAAAACTGATAATTTAACCATTATCTTCAGCATATTGGACTAGCTATCACAAAATTTATTGGAAAATCTCTTACCTTTCAGTTTACATTCTGACTTGTTGAACTGTGTTTACTACGTTGCAGCTCTCTTGGGCCAGATTGGTGCTTTGAGATCATTTTCAATTGAAAAGTTACAATATATGAGAGAGAGAGCATCTGGAATGAGTTCACTAGCTTATTTTCTCTCAAAAGATACTATTGATCATTTCAACACAGTCGTCAAGCCTGTAGTTTATCTCTCAATGTTTTATTTTTTCAGTAACCCAAGGTCATCATTTGCAGACAACTACATCGTTTTGTTTGCCCTTTTTTATTGTGTAACTGGTATTGGTTATACTTTTGCCATCTGCTTCCAACCAAGTTCTGCCCAACTGGTATGTATAATGTCATACTTCAATGCTTCCTCTGCAGTCACTTATAATTTTGTTTTATTATTTTATTTCTTTCTGTATTAAGTTGATGTTGATTTTGCAGTGGTCTGCTCTCCTTCCTGTTGTTTTGACTTTGATAGCAACTCAGCAGAAAAATTCAAAGATACTTGTTAATTTATGCTACCCAAAGTGGGCATTGGAGGCGTTCGTGATTGTAAATACCAAAAGGTTTATTGACTTACCTTTGCTTGCTTATCGCTGATGAGCATGGTCTGTATGATTCTTATTTGACATTATTTTCACATATTCATATTTGACTAGCTTGGTCTAGATGTTAGCAAAAGACACTTTGGCATCAATCTATCCTCCGTAACACATAAATTAAGTAGAACATTACAAAACACAATGTGACTCCTTTGCAGAGTACCTTTGGAAAAGCAACCACTATAATCATCTTTTGCCACTAAATAACGAGGATAACAAAGCTGGATTTTCAGATAGTAAGTATCCATGATCATGCCTTGGTTCTCATTAAGTGGTAACAATTAAGTAAATGAGTGAAACCTTTGTCTAGTAGAATTTGTAACTGGAATCTTTAGTCTATGCTCATGGTTTATTCATTTTTTCTATTTTTACATTTAGCTCTATCCAATTCTCTAAAGAAGGAAGAGACTTTATTTCGCTTTACCTGTTTCATGATGTTGTGTTTTCTGCAGGTTTACTAGTTCTACATGCTGGTTCATATCAAATTTGTTTGCTATCATGTTCATTACTTGTTATTTTAATTATATGAAACCCATCTATTGGTTATTAATTTTTTTCTCGAACTAGAATAGATATGTCTACACCGGCTTGATAGAATATGAAAATATTAAATTGTCACGTACAATTTATGCTGCTTTACAAGCTGCCAAAGACTAAAATGGGATGTAGAAAAGCCATCCCATTTATATTAATAAACCAGATGCCTTAGTTCACAATTTATATTAATAAACCGCTTAAACAGCAGAAATAAGAGCCAAACCTCTGCATGAGTTCATCTTCATGAACCAGACTGAGGTGGAAGACCTAATGACAGTTACAAAGCATAATAGGCCATATAGAAGAAAGGAGTAACAGGTAGGTAGGCCTTGATGTTTACAATGTTCCACATTTCAACCACAACAGACGAGAGGTACTCCCACTAGAAAGCTACCATTGAGGTAATTAATTGAGGCTTAAATTTTGCCTACAGGATGAGCTTCCATGATCTTTTTTCTTTCAGTTTCTCCAGGAGCCTCTTTGTTGTAGAACAATGTAATTTGCATACAATTTTGTTGGAAAACGAAGTTTCAGTTATGCGAATGATTTCTTTGTTCTGCTTTGATTTATGTAATTTGGATACAATTTTGTTGGAAAACTAAGTTTCAGTTATGCGAATGATTTCTTTGTTCTGCTTTGATTTGGCTTTCCTATGGGTATATGAGGCACACAACTGACTGCTCCTCTTTGCAGGTACTCTGGCGTGTGGCTGATGACACGGTGTGGTATGCTTTCTAAGTTGGGATATAACATCAATCACTGGGGAGTTTGTTTGGCCGTTCTCTTTCTTTATGGCTTTGTTTTCCGCTGCATCGCTTTCGTTTGCTTGGTGATGTTGAACAAAAAATGAGGTTTATATGCTTCATTCTCTATCCAGTTCAATAAATCGGTGTACATGATACCACGCCATTTTTCGACTCCAGCTTATGCCAGGGATCAATACACGCACAGTACGACCCGGACACGCTTCAGCAACACGATACAAATGTAGTCTAACAAGGCGTGTATACATAAATTTCTCAACTTAATACAAATGGCTTCGGACAAAATTGCTTCTCTTTTAATTAGTTTAAGAACAAACATTGGGTTTTACATGCAAGATGAAACCTTCGACTGACTGACGTTAAAACTGGCATTTGGGTCTTTTAATACATAAAAAAGGTTTTAAATTCAAATTGATAATTGATAATTACGCTGAAGAGTAATTAATTTAGATTTTAACGAAAGGATATTTGTGGAGGATATATTGTATTAAAATGTAAAGGACACCAAAAAATACGCTGTTTCAGAGTCGAAAGGATGCACATACAAAAACTCCGCAAGCAAACATGTCCAGAGAAACGCTAAGGGAACACGGTCGGTCGTGCGTGTCCTCACCTGAACTAAACGTACTCTTCCACTATTTAGGCGATGAGAGGTGCATTTCGTATCGCCGCTCCCATCATCTCCACTTTGAACGCCGGTGCGTTGCGTCTCTCTCGTACCCCACCTGCTCTGCTCCTCCTCGAACGAAGCCCTCGTTCGTCCTTCCACCGCCTTTTCTCGGGTTCTCTGCCAATGGCGAATCGCTCGCCGCCGCCTTCTACTTCCACAACGGCGTCAGAAACCCTCGATTCCTCTTCCTCTTCTATGGAGAAGCAGTTCGAGGGCTTTCGCGTCCAGCTCGAGGAGTCGGGGAACGTTCGGGAGCGGATCCGCGCGGTGGTGATGGAGATGGAGGGCGCTGTCCGGCTGATGCATTCTAGTCTTCTTCTCGTCCACCACACCCGCCCAAACCCAGGTTTCAAGAATCGAAGAAGTGGTTTAAATTTGTTCCTTTTTTCCATTTCTTGATGTTAGGGTTTTGGAAGGGTTTTAGGGGACTGTCGCCTGTTTAATGGCTTTGTTATTGGTTTCAGAGGTCTTGGAGAAGGCTAAAGTTCAGATCGAAGTGCTCAAGGATCTCTTCGGTGGGCTTGCTGAGATCCTTCGTGAATGCCCGGGACAGTATTACAGGCGAGCAGATTCTCTTTGGGCGGGCTATTGGAGTCTAATTTTTTTGTTTTTTGGTATTGTTCTTGTTATGCTTTTCTGTTGGATGTGCTTGAACGAGGGATCTTTTTGGTGGCAGGTACCATGGTGATTGGAGGAGCGAGACCCAGGCAGCAGTATCACTCATTGCGTTTCTACACTGGTTGGAGACGGGCAATCTTCTCGTTCATGCGGAAGCTGAGAAGAAACTCGGATGTGAGCCTTTCTTTACCCTTGAAGTTTCCTGTCTAATGAGCTTCTCTTATTTCATGATAGTAAACATATTTTTTTTATCACAAATGATGCATAATCATGTATTTGTCTTTCTGACAGCTATGATACTATGATTGCATTGATGCATGAGATAAATTTAAGTTCCATTTGTGGAAAGTGGATTTTATGAGAATGTCTGTATTCTCTATATGAATTCTTGAAAACAGGAATGTCTGTATTCTCTGTATTTTATGAGAATGTCTGGATTTTATGAGTTCCATTTGGCCTGTTCCTCTGATTGTTTTGGAGTTTGGACATAAAAAGATGTCAACGTGAGTTTCAAAAGAAATAAGAAGCTTTCTTCTGTGGAACTATGCTGATGTTACCTGTCTGTATCATCTCAATGGCCAGTAATTATGGAGGACACTTTGGATTAAAAAGTCACTCTTTTTCTTTCCTTTTGAATAAGTAACTTTGGTTAATTTAGCCGACATTTGTGTGTTCTCTAGAACAAGGTTTGCCTTACTGGTTCGAGTCGGTATGTCGCCCGGCTGACAGCACCACACGTCACGTACCGGTCTGTACAAGTGTACTGACACACAGTACATCGGTAAGTAGCGGTGTTCCGAAGAGGAAGAAAAAAGGGAGAAGAGGAAGGGATGGCGGGGGGAGGAAGAAAGAGGGAAGAAGAGGAAGTGGCGGAGGAAGAGGAACAGGAGAAGGGACCTTACCTGAGACATGGCGGTGCAGTGAGGTCGCCGCAAGCGGAGGTTGCCATCGCCATCGATCGGAGGGGACGCGGAGGTGGAGGTGGAGGCGATGCACGCGAGTGTGCAGAGACGGCACTTGCGTGAGGGTTTCCCACTTCCCTTTTATATGGTGGACTGGACTAGGGCGGTTCCACGTATTGGTCAGCGCTTGAACCAATACATGCTGTCTGTTTCGTACTAGTCCGAGTGAAACGGGAACGTTGCTCTAGAGAACATTTAGGGTATGGTTATGGAGAAGTGTAATGTATCAGTCAAATAGGAGATAACAGACTTATCTTGCATCTTACAGTCAAAGTTTTAATCTTTTTTCTTTTATGGTGGTTTTATTATGGGTGATCATTTCAGCTCATGTTGCATTGTCTAGCAGTGAACATGAGAAGGTATTATTGTCTCAAAACTGTTAATCTTATTAGTAACAAATTCTTCAGTTGCAATGATAGTTTAGAGACAAATAATTGTTTTAGTGGATTAAGCTCTATGAAGTAATTCAGTTGTGTTGGGAATTATACTTTTCAGAGTGCAATTATGAGATATATAAATTCAATCATGTATAATGGTACAGTAGATGGAAATTATTGAATATCAAAGTTTTAATCTAAATATGAGATGTTAAATAGCTACCTTATCTGTTTACCATTGAAAAATCTGAATATTAATCTTGCAATGCAATGAGTATTGATAGCTCTCTTTGGAGGTTAACTGTGTGATTGATTTAAAAGAGAAATAGTTCAAAGAGATAGCTGGCAAAGAATATTACAGAATGAGGTGAATAATTTAAAGTGGTTATTTGAAGAAGGGAAATAGAAAGGGGAAATTGAAAACTCTGCAATTATACTCCTACATGGATGTTAAATATAAAGAGAAAACTCAACCATTAAATGACACTATTGATACTAAAGTCTGTTGGTTGCAAGTCAATAAATCCAACATCACTGTCACAAATAAAACAACAAAATTTAAATTTAATTTTTTTGACAAGAGTGTTCAAAAATTAGAGAAGATTACAACAAAACCAACGTACATGAAATTCTCTGAAATCAAATACAGTTTTGAGTGGTACTCTTAGAAAAACAGAGAAGCTTGAGTGATATTTTTTATTGCTTATTCATGAGATTCATCTTGTTGCTTAGTTGAATGTGCTGATTTTGAAGGATCACTGCTTAAATTTAGAATTCCTAACATAATTTCATGAATTAGAAAGGAAATAAGGCTTATTTAATCACAACCTCCACAATAAATATTTTGTGATGTATCCTTTATATGCCATTAAGGGAACTTCTTGGAACAAAACAAAATGGATAATTTGAGTTGTATATTTTGACCTTGTTTACATATTGTCTATCTAAAAATGGTTAATGTTAACCTACCTGAGATCTCAAAAAGTACATCATGATTTACAAAGGAAACATATGGATTGCATAATTCATGACCTCTAGTATCCATTCCTATAAACAAACTGAATTTTAGAGTGATAAGCCACTATAAGAAGCATTCATGTAATGGTAACACATGTAAAAAATCTTGGACTTTCTTTAACAAGTTCATTAGCTTTGTATTGTTGTCCTTTTCGAGTACATTGTATCATTTTGACCGATGAAATGTATCTCTGGTTTCAATGCATATCCAGTAATACTTTTAGTCTAGATCTCATTGGACAACAAAAAAGCTTAACTACTAGTAGTAGTTAATCTGTACAGCAAAAATGAGCCAGTGAGTTAAAGAGTTGGTAACAATTGATTCTTATAAAATTTAGAACATTTAGTGCAGCTGGCTGTGTTACTGCAGCATGACTTAAGTGATATAATGGTGCAGCCAGATGTATTTCTTTATATGATTTAATAATGTGCATTATGATTTTTAGCAAAAGATGTTTGACATGTTGCTTTTCTTGTATGCTTCTATGCAGTGGACAATTCAGAATTTGGTCTGGACATTGAAGATTATCTTATAGGTTAGTGCTCTTTCATAGTATAACTTGCAAATGTTTAGTTATTGCAGTTTGGCAATGTATGCATGCAAAGTGCCATATTGATGTTCAAGATTCATATCGCACAAGTGAAGTCAATGCTGCATAAGTGAACTGAGCAGATATTAGTAAAATCAGACTTGAATCAATCCCATAATGAAGCCAACCAAAGATTCATGTATGACCTGTCAGGAACAGGCATCATCTACCCAGAAATAGCACTGATCAAGCCTATTTAAAATCTGCATAGGTGAACTGAGCAGATATTAGTAAAATCAGACTTGAATCAATCCCATAATGAAGCCAACCAAAGATTCATGTATGACCTGTAAGGAACAGGCATCATCTATCTAGAAATAGCACTGATCAAGCCTATTTAAAATCTGAATAAACATATAAATCTTGAGAGGTTCATTAATGGGTTGCATATACCAAACCTATTGCGGATATGGGAATCTTGTGCTAGTCAATGTTCGAATTTTAGTCATTCAGCTTTCAAAAAAATTTCTTCTGAAAAATAAACCTGTATTGCAGATCTGGTTTGCAGAGAAACTAATAGTGAATTCTAATGTAAGTTTGGGACTGCTAAAGTTAAGACATGAAGTTACGAAAATTCATGTTTATGTTATGCAATATAAAATACAGTATTCAATTTTCTTAATAAAATGGTTTTCCTACAGTTTCTTGTGGTCTATGAAGCATCGACACGTCGATTTTGTGAGACACGGACATGTCGTCGACATGGCTGGACACGTGTTAGACACATGTACAGCCATGTCTTTTTTATTTATTTTTATTTATTTTGTTGAACACGGCACCACACATGTGAAATCTCTTTGTCGACGGTTTCTTTGAGGATTTCTTGTTTGTCACGTTATGAATAGGATCGTCGGTCGACATTAAATCTCGATCGCTTGCCTCCACCACCTGTGTCCTGAAGCCTTCTTCCTTCTTCCTCATTGGCATGGACTGTGGAAGAGGCTTCACCCTCGGTCCAAACCCCTTGCATTCGTCAGACCACCATGACACAGCCCTTGCGACCTCACCGGTGCCCAACGAAACCTTCTTCCTCACCTTCTGCGATGTAGACCTTCTACTACTACGTCGTAGGGGACCACGCTAACCCATGCTTCGTAGTTTGCCCACTTCTACTGTACCAAACCCTATGTGATCCTCTCTTTCTGCTTCCTAGGACCCAGATTTCCCGTTTCTGTTTTGATCTTTGGGTTTGGTTCCAGATTTCCTGCCCTCCTTTCTGGGTCTTGATTTGTCGCAGGGCTTCTTCCGTAAGTTCTCTTGATCATCTTGGAATTTGAAGCTAGAAAGTAACGCCACCTGGTTTGAGATCGGGTGCCACTTGTTTTTGCTTTCCCTGCATGAGTTCGGATGCATAGAAGCACAAAGATAGTCTCAAATTCTTTCATAAGAAAATGTCTTTTGATTCGATTGTCAAAAATCATAGGTATGGCTCGCATGAGTAGTTCTAGATTTGAGAAGCAAGATGTTTAGGGTTTGTTCCTCTCATAAATAAGAAGTTAGATGACACAGATTCTTTGATTGTGGTTTAACTATTGTCCGAGCTCTTTGCTTTCTGCAAATTCTGAACTAAAACAAGATTCTGGTTTATTTTTCACACACAGATGGATGTCTAAAGTTTTGTGGATTCTGTTCCACGCTAGTGTCTTGGTATATTGATATCAATGGTATCTGACTTCTTATTAACATACTAAGCCACCTAAAGAACTGTAGTCCTACTTAGACTTCCACTACAGTTTAATACATTCTTCAGATTTTGTGAGCTTATATTTTGAAATTGTATTTTGCTATTATCAAGAAACCACATACCATATCTTTACTTGATGTTATATGTTACATATGGTAGAGATCATTTCCTCATCCAATTTTCCTAAGCTTATATTATATAATTTGGTTTCTGAACTTTTCTTTCATGTTCTTTTATTATTTTGTTTTTGTGTTCTAGAGGTGTTAGGCTCGGATGGAATTCTTGAACTTTATGAGGAGGAATGTTATTAGTGTTAGTGCTAAAAAAATATATTAATTGAATAATATATATATATTAAAAAAATACACGTAACTTCGTTGTGTTCGTGTCCTAATTTAAAAAAAAAATGATGTATTGCCATGTTCGTGTTATGTTGTGCTAGTGTCCCGTGTCTGTGCTTCTTAGCTTGTGGTAACATATTACCACAGTTGATTTGAGATTATTAATAAAGCCTAAAGATTGTCACTAGATTAAAAATTTCAAATGATACTGGAAGTTAGATTTGTGAGATCTTTTATGATACTTTTATTTAATTTATATATAATAGTTGTGTTCTAGAAGTCTTTATTTGTTATAATAGATTTCTATCGAACTAACATCGAATAGCAATAAGCAAGAAAATGCGCTTTCAGTGTTGGGTTTGAGAAGTTACTATCCTTGCACTTACAAATATGTAAGCCTCCAGCCAACTGAAACTCAAAGCATGGTTCGTCTTATCGGTCTATACTGGTGTATTGATAAGTCGTCGGCACGATACATATCTAGGCGTACCAATGTACTGTGTGTCGGTACAATGGGACGTACTGACAGTACGTACAAAATCATCGAAAATAGCATAAAAAACCTAAAAATAAAAAAAGTTAGATTAGAGTTTTTAAGTTGAAAATAAATATAAATTTAGTATAATTTTAGCAAAAATAAGATAAATTAGGAAAGAATAATGACACATCTTTTATGGGCTTTAAGGAGTAGCTTTGTGATACGTTCTAGAGCGTCCTTCTGTTAATATTAAATTATCTACAAGAAAATGATTTGAATTGTTAGATTATTTTTTAAACAACTTAAACTTTAAGATTCAAATGAATTAAGTAATCAATTGATGAATATGCCTGATTTTATCACCAAAAAGAATGATGAGACTCCATGGGCAGTGGATCAAGGTCCTCGTTCCTATTTATCTATATATCAATTTAATATATTTATTGGACTTAATTCTGAGGTGATGGTGCATCAATATGGTGATGGTCATTGGTGCATCAATATGGTGATGGTCGTAGTCTGATTACCGTGAACCACATGTGTCCGAGGTGACTATTGAGGTAAGGACAAATGTGGCATGTATTGGTGCGGAGCATGAAGAATGTCAAAACTTCTACTTTCACTATTTATTTGTTGCTTCGTATTATGAGATCGATCATCGTATGGGCGTAAGATTCTTTATAATAGAATGACTATGAATACGATGAGCTTCGCTTTGTGTCTACGTCGTGTAGACTTTGTCTCATTTACTCAAAATCATCCACTGCCTTCCCCTTCCGTGTATAAACTTGACTAGTACCTCGTCGAGCTCCATGATTTGAATCTTGGGTGGCATGTGTAAAATATTGCTCCTCAGTCCATGCACCACCCTCAAATTGTGTAGATGAGACTATCGACTCCCCAACGTTGTCGCCATCATTGGTTGAGACATAGTTGTCAATGTCGTTGCTATGTCTTTGGACCAAGCTGGTTGTTGAATGCGATTGCGAGGGTGTCTCGTCACCCGACTCGATTCTTTCCAACGGTGTAACTGATGCTACTATCTTCCCCTTTGTAACTGATGCTACTATCTTCCCCTTTGTCTTTTTACACTCTTAGTTCATTGGTAATCTTTTAATGGTAAGTATTTAATGAGCTATTTCTGCTCATAATTTGGGAAGCTTTTCACTCTATTCATACAGTTTGTTTTTTCCTTTTTCAGGAATATGTTTCATGTCCAATGAGTTGGTAAGAATGTTTTTTTCCTGTCAAGTCATTAAAATTTCTTTATTATAAAGCTTGGTACATATGGCACTCAGAATCTTGGTGAACATAAACATGGTTAGCATGTGTAAACTTTTATGGTTACGTAACAATGGTATCATGGGCTTTCTGGATTGTTCAGTGTGTCAGTAGGTGTGTTTCAATTTATTGATTTGTCGGACAAAAAAAAGCCAACTGATTGCAATTTCGAATTATTATTCTTCCATTGAGTTTATGTAGCAGTATTTAGAAGTATTTCCTGAAATTACTGGCTGTTTTTGCATGTCTAGCCAAGATATGTGGTCAACCAAGTTACTGCTGGGGATTATGATTGTCCAAAAAACGTGCTCAAGTTCTTAACCAATCTCCATTCTGCTTTTAGAATGCTTAACCTACGAAATGACTTTCTGCGCAAGAAGTTTGATGGTAGGTTCTATGTTTCTGATTTTAAAATTGTTATATCATTTTGTAAGTAACGGGCATGATAGCAGTTGAAAAAAATGCATGACTTAGTTCAATTTCTCCAATGCTTTTTGGCAGGAATGAAGTATGACTTGAGAAAAGTTGAAGAGGTCTACTACGATGTTAAGATCAGAGGCCTCGGATCTGGGGACACGATGCAGGGGCATGCCACCCAAGCTTAATGGACTGGAGACAATTTGGCTGCTCAAGGTATATATATATATATATATCTACAGTTGCAAAGTTTGTTCCATTTGATATATTAGGCATAAATCATTGTAGCTGTTGCGCATCTTTTCTTGGTTTTCTAGATGTCGCTGACATGTAGTAATTCCGTGCTTCAAGTGTCTTTGGATCCAATCCACGAGGACTGGAAAATGAAGAGTAAGAACAAGTTATCTATATACCTTCGTGGTGCTCTGGTAGCTACCAATGAACAATGTCATTCATTATATAGTCAGGATCAAGTTTCTTATGTCAACCAGCGGAATCAAACCTTAGTGGATATTGCCCTGGTTTTACCCCTATGTCATAGCTGTTGTCGTTTGGATCCTGTAGACCCGTTTTACCCCTATCTCAAATTGTTGCACAAGTGCTTCATAATTTTTTTGCTACCGAACGGTCTCCCCATCTCGACCAAGAGAGGTCCCTGGTGTAATACTGCGCGTTCTTGTTGAGGCATCTTACTCGGTTTGGTTTATCTTCCATGAGAAGCACCCCCGAAGCAAATTGGAAATGCAGGTGTAGGTGGCATGTCATAGTTGTACCATTCCCATCGCCAAAAGAAACATTCTGGGAACAATAATAGGTTCAGTATGAACCTTTGTACACTTCCACACGCGAACACGGAATCAAGGCGATGATTGGATGAAACGCGGGGTCCGCCGGACGCGTGTCCTATCATCCGTCCCAATCACCGCAAGAACCCAATGCTTCTTGTTAACCCGCAGTGCTCGTGTCCGGGGGGGGTATTCATCTTCTCATCACAAGTCATTCGGTGGAAAGGACTTCTTCTTATGTTAAGAGCCGAATCCACGCAAAGCTGGGATTTGAAGCCAAGAAAGGGCCCATTCCACCATCCGCGCACACCAAGTCTCCCGCCAGAGACTTGCCGCTCTCCTCGAAAGCTCCCTTCCATCCTCTCCTCAGGAAACTCGATCCGGTGCTCTTTCTTGGCCTCAAAGCTTCCAACTTCCTCCCACCACAATACCATCCACCACCCCCCTTTGAGTGAGTTTTGGACGCTGGTCTTGGCCGAAGCTGAGGCTCATGGCGTCTGGTGACGACGGGCTTCTTGCACTTCCTGCTGCCTCTAACATGGTAAGCCTTTTCTTTTTATGGCGGGATGGTAAAACGATGCATCTGTTTGCATCTTCTCCACACTTGAAGGTTCTAGAGGGAGGCTGAGAGATGAATGTCAATAAGGTTTCTGTTTCGATTATTGTTAGCATTGGGATTTTGGTTGTTGATCATGGTGGCATTATCTTGTTTGTGTCAGCTGAAGGTCGGGGAACGTACTTCTCTCACATACTTCCAATAAAATTAGTGCCTTGTCGCCACGGGATAACAATTAACGATACATCACTTTCAGATTGGTTAACTGATCCAATGTGTGTCATGCAGGGAAGGAAGAGCACCAGTATCCAAAATAGAAAGTTAAATCTTGAAAAGGAGGTGAGTTCCTAGTTGTCTCTTTTGCTTTTTCAAGTGGAAGCTAATAGAACAGTACCTGAGACCTTAACGCTTCATGTGCTTTGTTTGTATCAAGAATTGGGGGAAAGACAAAACATTTGGGGAGGAAGTTTGAAATATCTTGTTTGTTTGAAAGGAAAACAGAATTAGAAACAGAAAAAAAAAAAAAAAGGAATGAGAAACAGAATAATTGAAGGAAACAGAGGTATTGTTTTCTCTTGAAGTCAACTTTTTACATTCTATTATCATCAGAGAAATTTGGAGAAGATTCATAATTTCAAGCAAAGTTGTCTTATTTGTTTTCTGAAGGAGTGAAAATTTGGGTTTTTCTTTTCTTTTCTCTGACCACCTTCTCTTTCTCTTCTCTAGTAATTACCCCAGTGAATAATAATAAACATAAGCATTACATCTGCTATGGTTTCAAACGTAATGTTGTTTCCAGGTGGCCGAACTGCAAAGGATGCTCCATGATGAAGAGAAAGTGCATGAAATTTTGGAACGTGCATTGCTTCCACAAAATGCTCTGTTAACCCTTCGTATCTCAAGTTTCCTTCCAAAAAAGGTACATCCTCCTTAAATTTGTGCATCTCAAGGAAGACATGCATTGGAAAATACAAAGGTGCAAACTTAAAGTTACAATAATGTTAACTTGTCCTTTAAATTGAGCACCTATAAGCAGTTTCTGGGTTTGAAGGCAATCCAACATTGTAGCCAGCAGAGGACCGGTTTGCAGCTTAACCTCTACCATGATGATGACAAACAATAATTCCTTTATTATATAAAGGACTTTGTTATTGTCATTTGTCTGGAAATTTATGACTAGGATTTTGACACCTGCATCATTTATGACAAGTAACAAATCCAGTCCAGTCAAGCTATTTTAACTTGAACTTGGTGCTCGAGGACCCCTATAATGGTTCTGAAGTCAATAGTCAGATTAATATCTAATCATTGCATGCTGAGATATCCATATAAGCAGTTTTTCCCATCTAGTGTTTTTTTTTTAACCTCTCGGACAATACCATTTCTGTGTTCTACATGACCAGTGACACCAGAGATTATCAACATTTAGTTATATTATGCATATGAGGAGTTTTGTATTGTTGCATTTGGACAGACTTTGATACAGATGTATAACATGCTCAATTTGAAATTTAAATTAAGCAAAGTAACTTTATTTTAATAAAACATACTCTTGTTTCATGTTGGCTATTGGATTATGGTTATATATTTAACAAAATTATCATACTGCCTAAGTTATGCTGAGTTGCGTAGCTTTTGAAGCACTAGCACTTATTTAACCAAACTAACGTAGTGCCTAAATTTTTCTTAGTCTAGTAGTTTTTAGGAACTATAGAACCATGGCCGCCATTATCATACACATCCTTACTTTGTTATCCAACTTCACCTCAGTTGATTCCAATGTATGTTGTGTGCATGATGGCCTGAATTTTAAATGAGAGTTATTTCATAGTATGTTGTGTTTTTCCTTGCTAAAATTCTTTCAAGGAGAAGTAACCCTTTTACAGTCAAAAAGATAAATGCCAATTTACCAAAAGAAACAGGGATGGATATGTTAGAACATCATTGCACAACTTTAGATTTCTTCCTTTTTCTATAAATAATTTATGATGATAAATGAAAGTTTTCATATGCTCGTCCTCTTGAAAGTTCTTTCTCAAACTAGCCTCTGGGATGACATAGCCTGAAGTGTCTACCATGTTCACATTTAGTTTCCACACAGTTCATTCCAAATTAAATTTCTAAAGTGTGTTCATGGTCAGCCTAGTTTGAGAATTTGAATATCCTAAGTTCCATAATCATTCCATCCTAGCTATTCTCATGCAGAGTGCTTTGAGCTTTCTGACATGAATAAAATGGTGCAATTTGCTATAGGAATTTAGTTCAGTATTGAATTCTTAGCTATATTTTTAAGCAAATCCTTGCGATGACTTGTTACCCATTGGGCCAGTTGACTTTTTTCATTTATGAATAACTAGCTTTATGGCCTAATAGAGGATAAAATGAAAGAAACATTTAAGATGATGTGGGCATATTCAAAAGAGAAATATAGATGGCTTGGATAGATGAGCTAAGTCAATTAGGATGAATGGTGCAAGAAGAGATAGATAAAAAAGAAATCTAAGAAAAATCTATGAGAAACATTAAAACAATATTAGATCATTTTTAATTGGCTTAGGATATTAACCTTAACAGAGCTTAATGAAGTGAAAAGATCAATGTAGTCGATTCCAAATAGATACTTAGGACATTATAGCTTATTGTTGTACATATAGTTAGCACCTGGTTCGTGATTTTTCATGATTACTGATTCATTCGAACTCAAATACATCCTTACTTTTCTAATGTTGCTAAAAGGAAGAAAGGTATTTCATTTTTTTTTTTCCTGCTGAAAGCTCATCTGACTTGCAGACAAAGGAACTTTTAGCAGAACTTGTAGTGGTGGAAGAGGAGATAGCTCGACTTGAGAGTGAAATAAGTAAAGTTCAAGTAGGCCTACCAAACATGCAAGGAGCTGAAGAACAGAAGACCTCAAAAGTTTTCAACTTTAAGGACACAAATGTAAATGTCATAGTTGAACCTTCAAGTGATAAGTCAGTTGCTTCATCACATGTGCCTGGTCAAGAAATTTTGCAGCAGAAGATATCACTAGAAACCAAGCCTTTGTTCTTTATAAACCAGGCAATAAAAGGAGATTATTTGGTTAACGGTTTCAGCAATATAAGAAGTGCTGGAAGCTTAACCAGGTCTTTCCATTACAAGGGAAGCCAAAGGGCAGTGGAAATTAAGGAGAGAGCTTCAAGGAAAGGTCGAATGCCACAGAAAGCATCCTTGCCTAAATTGCCTCCAAAGCACCTAAGCAATAAAGTAAGTCAAACTCTTTATGCTACCCAGATTGTCCTGCTTAGTTTCAATGTTTATTATGACTATCTAACAACCAAGGAGAAACATAAGCAGAATATTGCTGTTATAAATAGAGAGATAAATATGGAAAGAAACATTTGTTGTCTTACAAATGCATTACGTCTTTCACTTTTGTTTAAGCTGTGAAGGTTCTGTAGCCCTATATTAAATTAGTTGTTTCAGTTTTACTTTATTAAGCTTTCTATTTGGTGAATGGAACAGAGGATTGAGCCATTGTTACACTAAAACCCAGAGTTTCTGTTAACTTCATCTGAATAGATAGATGACAAAAACCACCTGTGTCTACATGTTAGTAATGCCTTGGGAGACTTATGATAAAAGAGAATTCTTACATGTAAAACTGTTCTGTCTTTTTTCTCTAGTTATTTGCTGTTGAAGTATACTTGTCAGTATTATGATTTTCTGGATGTTGTTCTTACAAATTTTCTTTTAACTATGAGACATTTTGCTTTCTCCAGGATGCTAATGTGGAAAATTTTCTCACAGTATTCAAAGAACATTCTACTGTAAATTCATCAGACAAAAATGGTGGAGAATACCAACCAAACAAGTTATCTGAGAAAATATTGAAGTGCTTGATCTGCATTTTCTTAAGATTTATAAGAACATCACGAGCATTGGATCTAGAAAAATCTGGCAACTTATTAAGATCTGCCAACGTACTGCTACGATCAGGAAACTTCCAGATTGATGGCAGCTTGATGTTGAAGGGAAAAATTCCAACTCAAAGGGAAATAAGGCACCATGATCCTTATGAAATTTTTGAGATTGAAGACTCTCTACTGAGAGATATTGGTCCATACAAGAATCTTGTCAAATTTACCTCATGCTCTTTGGATCACAAAGACATTTCTAGTTCTCTTGCTTTATTAAAAAAGTTAAGGTAAGCTGCACAGCTCACTCTATTTTTAAAAATCAAAGTATATTTTGCATGATTATATCAATGTGTATTATATAAATATGTTTAGTATATCATCATTCAGATTTGCGTAAACATTTATGCATGTAAGGCACTTTCAGTATCTGGGAATTTTGTGCAGAGGCTTACTATAATAATCATGTTTTTTTTTCTGAAATCATTTCCTAAATCTACTTTTGTTATTTCATTCATCCATAAATTCTTATGATAACTACATTTCTTTTTGCCTTCTCTAGACTGTGATGTTAGTCATTGTTTAAATTACTGCCACAGGATCTTAATTAGCAGCCTTCATAAGGTGGACTTGACATTTTTGACCCACCAAGAGAAATTGGCTTTTTGGATAAATGTTTACAACATCTGCATCATGCATGTATAGTATGACTGCTTCCCTTTTGTTAACTTTCTTGATGAGCTCTGTCTAAGAACAATTGCCTGATGTTTCATGCAAATCCATGTTTTACAGAGCTTCCTAGAACTTGGGATGCCTTCAAATCCAGAAATGGCTGAAGGATTGAAGAATAAGGTACAAAGATACTTTTAATGAATGTACATCCGATCACTCTTCATTTTTAAGATGACCTAAAACATCAAGTATTTTCTTTCTCATCAGGCCACGCTCAATATAGGAGGGCACAAACTAAATGCATTAGCTATAAAGCACCTTATTCTAAAGCAATCATCGAACTCTAATGAGGTAGGTTAAGCTTAGCATAATATAACTGTGCTTATTTAGATAATGATGTGTAGTCAATTGATTGTTGCACAGGATGGCTGGAAAGTTCACAAGGATGATAAAGAAATGGTTCCTAAAGACTATGGATTGGAGCAATCAAACCCCAATATTGTGTTTGCACTATGTTCTGGCTGTAAATCTTCTCCAGCTGTAAGTAAAACTTTCAGAAATTAGACTTCATATTAGTGATTACTGATGTCATTCTTTATCATAAAAGACCAAATTAATAATGGTCAATTGTACAAGTGGTGGCTGATACCCTTTATGTCCCTAGCATCTGGCATAACCTTTATTTCTATCATAAAATACCAAATTGTATTCAACCATGTCATATTTTATTGTCAGTGAACTTATGCAAGCCACTTCCAAGAACCACTAGGCATATGTAAAGAGTGATGATTCTCTTCCAAGAAAGTGAGGATTCTTTTCGATTTTATATTGAGAGGAACCCTCCAATTATGACATCACAATCATCACTGTATGATTATTAGGTTCAAGACATCCACTTTTGAGCATATGATTGATTGAGAAGAAGTGCTCTAGATTTTCACTAGTCGCATGGGTTAAATTATGTTGTGACTTCTAGCATAACATATTCAAAAGTCTACTGGTGTTAAACTGACTTCTTATCTTAATACTAATTGGCAAATGTACATGTGGTAGTTCTTGATGACCTTGAACCAATGTTGACCAAGAAGCATTGCTAGCGAAAAGGATCACATATGACGATAGCTTACCCATCGTATGACATCCTATGTTGCTGATGTTATGATTCTTCGATGATGATGGTAATCGACTGAATTTTGTTCAGGTCAGAATATACACAGCCGATGGTGTCGTAGGCGAGTTGGAAAAATCGAAGATGGACTACTTGCAAGCTTCAATAGTAGTGACAAGTACAAAAAGGATTTTGATCCCGCATCTGCTGCACTCAAATATGCATGACTTTGCCAGAGACTTGGATTCTTTAGTTGACTGGATTGTCAACCAGCTTCCAACTTCTTGGCCTCTGAGGAAATCCATGCTAGAGTGCTTGAAGGGAAGGACAGCTGCGAAGATATCTCATACGGTGGATGTTATCCCTAATAATTCTGAATTCCAATACCTTCTGCCCATGTGACTTGATCTTTCCTTTGCACTTCTTTTCTTGAAAAGTATGCCGAGCTATTATAGCACGATGCGAGAAATTATTCCACGATATGTATGCTAATAAGGTCTGGTTTCACTTCCTTTACTTCTTGAGTTAATTGGGAACGATCTGTAAATATATCAGTAGACAAGAAAATAATAAGCTGTGTTTTGGACAAACTATATGAGTTTACAGTTGCATTCAGTTGGCGCAGCCAGGAAAAGGACATTTTACAGCTTCACAAAAAAGATTCAGCATGACAAGATTCTAAACTGCTCGTGTTTTTCTGAAATATACATGATAAATCTACAGGTCCCGCTGACATGGACTTCATAACAGATTCATCAACTAAAGCGTCGTGGATGTAAAAAATCAATTGGAAAAAAATCCACTAAAGCAGCCAACCAACCAACCAGTAAATGTGTACAACCACTCTTCGTTGTTGTTCGTTCGTCTTACGACGTCCTTTGCTCACAACTGAGTTTTTACATATGCATCTAACTCAACCTCTCATACTCAACGAATGAAAGTATATTAAATAGAAGGTTTATACTGCGCCCTAACCATGGCATGTTAGCCACTCATTTTGATAATGTCAAAATTTTGCCCTGAGATTTTACACTCATTTGCAAGCAAATGGACACCCTAACATAATTAACACAATCTTGAAAGATCTTGAAGAGGTCAGGCCCCAGCCCGTGTCTCATTGGCTGGCTGGCTTCTGTTTCTTCTTCCTTCGTTTCTCGTTTGTGTCGCCGCCTCTCTCCGTACGCTTAGATTGCCATTGACGGATTTCCATGAGCTTTGCCTTGGCATCCCGGAAAGGTGCATCGGATCTCATCGACATCAACTCCTGGTAGACCACACACCACAATATCATCCACCAGCACCGTAAGTAATAAAAGATGTCTAGGAGTATCTACCTTGAGATGATCCATGGCTGCAAGATTAAAACCGATAGTGTCTTTGCATTCCTGTGAAATGAAAAGAATCTCAATTGGTGTTCAGTGTTCACAAAAATAACGTCCATAAATAATAATGCATCACAAGGAACTAGTAGATAAAGAATAATGGGACATCCACTATAACTCATCCTACAAACAACTAAAAAGCAGTCTGTCTATTGGATCCCATCCTCCGACAGAATATCCTGTAAAACTCTTATCTCTAACTATCTTTTACCCTTTTTTCCATTTAAAAAGAAAATATAAAATATTATGACGAACTTACATCAAGCAACAAAACCAATGAATAATAGAGCCTCCAAATTTACCTTAACTCTTTCATGAAGAATGTCCTTCAGTACAATCAAAACTGGTCTGGCAGCTACTGCAGTCGTTAGCTGGTTATGATGTGTTTGCAGCAGTACCGTGGTGACCCTGCAGACAAGCTCGACCTGCAAGCAGTGAATATGCAGTTATGTTTTATATTTCTTAAGAATGTACTATATATTATGATATAATAAAATCCCGGTCTTAGTTTCATTGAAGCACTACGTCAATACTCATTGTACCAATACATGCAGCCAACTATATCACAACTCATTATGTATATATTTGGTTTTCAATCAAGATTCAGAAAAAAAATAAAGACCCCATTGTCATTACCTTGTCAGGAACGAGAACCCATTCTTTCAAATAAGACATGAGCTTCAATGCATCTGAGAACGGCAATGACTGCAAAAGCAGAAGATATGGTGACTTCAGTCAGATCTTTGTACGAACCAAGTAAAACAACCTGCACCTTAGCAAAAATGTTTCTTCACATTTATGTAATTTTGTATTTTGGTTTTCCTTGAATAACAATAAATGTAAATAAATCACCATAATTTTGTAACTTGACCATCTAGATGTAATCCTAGAGCAAATTTCCTCCCAAGGAGATGCATCAGATTCTGATACTACAGGATAATTTTCATGTTTTGCAGTTTCTAGCCTAAAGGAACTTCTGATGCAAGAAAATCTTAGTGCTTTTAATGCCTAGTAAAAAAAGACAAAATAAATCATTCATAACACAAATACTCAGAATACTGGCAAAACATGACCCCTAAAATTTTAGGCTGCCTAGAAGGAAGACATTCTGTCTAAAGGTACAAAACAATCTAACATGAAAAAGGTGGAGATTTCTACAAAAAATAAGCATGATAAAAAGGCTTTCCAGTACAAATGCAATATATGAATCAATACAACAAACAAGTTTGAGATAAGTCACTAAAAATAAGCAAGAGCAAACCTGTAAAACTGTAATATTGAACAAAAACTTTGGCATAATATAAGATCCAACAACAATGAACAAACAAAGAACTTGTCACTAACCAGAAGTGTCTGTTCTAGATCATTGGTATTAACATTTGCAAGTGTATGAAGAACATAATCAGATGGAGAAAGCCCCCGCATCAGTATATTTGTTTGGAATTCACCTCCTCTTCCGTTTTTCTGGTCCTCCTGAAAATTTAGAAAGGAAAAGAGCACATTAAATTTTATCAATGCACGTGCATCCTCTTTTGCTTGCAAGAGCAAACGTGCATACATTGACGCAACCCTCCCACCCACATTGGTGGGAGTCTTGTGCAGTGAGCAGCCTTTAACAACATTTTGAACAACTACATAGCAAAATTGAATAATATTGATTGTTCAAGTCAGGTATTGTATAGAGAACGAATATAACACCTGAGTCATAGCTGCAAGAAAAAGATAAGAAATGAACTAGGGTAAAGTGAATGCTGCTGTAGAAAATTTTTGGTAATCAAAGATATTACAGCTTATTATGTATATACTTAATTCTTATAAAAAGTGCCATAGGTATTCTACTGGTGTGTCGGAAAAGAATTATGTCAGTCTACAGGCTTAATATTGGTGTGGCATATGATGGTTACTACCTAAAACATAAGAACAAAAGTTTTGGGCAAAAAAAGAGGTGTATGCACCACTTCCAGTAAGATGTTCTTTCACTTACAAGTTAAGGTTTGACATACAATAGGAATCATCTGCATGAATAAAACACTTAGCTCTAAAAACGAAGCACACAATTCTCTAATGCAAGTGCCCAATTTATTCTTCTCCATTCCCAATGTTCTGTGTGAATTAAAATAATAGTAGCTTCACTGCTTACAAGATGCTCAACAACACAAGTACGACAAACAATGTATAAAGCTCCATAGGCACAATTATGCAATAGTGCAATACACAAATTTTGAAGAGTATCTTAACTAATACTAGTGTGTTTTGTACAAATTTCCTAGTATATGTTTTGAGATACTAAAATTAGATTTAAAATTTAACATACACAGGGAAATCAAATGCATGAATCAAGAATTTAGAATTTAACAGTGGCGTAAACCGGCAATCCTTGTTACTGTCATACCATAAAGCACAGACTCTTCAAGATAATCATATTCATATCAGGTTTTAATTTCTCAAATTAAATGTTTGTATATGACAGTAATTTTATAACTCAAATGATGCATAAACAAATACACCGCATGCTTGGACATGTTTGAAATTTCATGCATGCTAATTTGTATTGATAAATATGAATAAATGTACACGTATAATGGTAGAAAAGCACGTGATTAGGAATCTTAAGGATCATTTCCTGTCTAGCTGTTATGCGATAAAAAATTATTCATATTAGGGGATCTAAATATTAAAAACATTAACATTTTCTATGTGTACCTTGTGTTGATCAATTCGTTTTATTTCAGCATCCGCCATATCTAATGCATCAATAACCAAGTCAGTTGCACTCAGGGTTTCCTTGGTTTTCTTGCCTGGAACACCAACAGATCCCTCATCTGGAACCAATTCTTTTGGTGCATATCTGTCTTCATTTAGATTGTCCAAGTCAGACTCAAAAAGCTCTTCCAACCTCTTTTCCCTTTCTTCCTACACTCAAACAAGGCATTTAAAGCGCACTTGTTAAATAAAATAACTAATTGTAGAATATATTTGTTAATTTCAATGAGCACAATTTAGGGTTTAGGAATTAAGAAATTTGAACAGTAGAATACCTCAATGAAGAAGGGTTCTTCAGTCCTATCCCAACGGCGAATTGAACGATCATGAGATCCTGTGACAATGAAGTCACCACGATTGCTAACAGCAAGGCACCAAACTTCAGCATGATGCCCCTCAAGAGTTAAGAGTAACTCAAACTTATCAGCATCCCAATATTTGACGAGGCGATCTTTCCCCACGCTGAACATGTAATGTGTATTTCTCACAAATTTTACATCCATAACACTGAAGTAAATAAAAAATGGAGACCAAAATCAGCTTTGGCAGATTCATTAACAAAGTAAAGCAAACCTAACTTTAAAGCATCATAAAGACCTGTCAGCATGTGCGAAGATAGATTTGTGGCAGTCACCAAAATCCAAACCCCAGATTTTCAAATTTTTGTCTGCAGAACCACTGACTATAAGGTCACCATCAGATGAAATATCCATACAGAGCACTGGAAGCTTGTGGCCATAAAGGGAAAGAAAAAATTTTAAGGAATCCACGAAGAAGACCTGTAAAACATCCATATATGAATAAGATATAATAGAAGTCATGCCAATCAGGAAAAAGTAGCCTTTTGTTGATAAGAAAAAAAATTAGAAAAAGAATATTACAATTGTCACAGTAAAGCGCACAAAAACAATGCAAATCAACTTAAGACGACTGAGAATGCACAAGTTTTGTGGTGGATATCATGCACATTATATGGAACATGGTGGAGAGATGAAGTATACACGTGGAGTATGTCTTCACTCTTCAATATGAACTAGAAGTCATGATTTAGATGAATTTGCTATGCCTTGATGACTCAACAGTCTGACAGATGAAGCGTAACTAGGATTATCTGGTTCAGTCCATTGTAATCAAGTATGAGCAGAAAATACAGTGATTGATCAATCTTGATTCAAAACTCTCTTCAAGCTTAGCCTCCAACAGAAAACAATAAACTCGAATGGTTTTAGTCAAACCAGAAAAAGGATAGGTGGAATTGATCAAAGCAGTAAATGGATTAGTTGGACAATCCAGTTTTATATGTCAAAATGTAAATGAATCTTAATCAAACTACATTCAAACAGCAAAAAGAGTGGAAACTGAACTCAAAATGACAAACAATGGAAACCAGTGATTTAAAAAGCGCTAGGCGTCAAAAGGCGCTAAGGTCCAAAAACGCCCGAGGCCCTATGCGCTCGCCCGAACGAAGCGAGGCGCTAAAATATAAAAATATATAATATAATTAATAAATATAATTATTTAAAATTTTAAATAAAAATATGCTATTATTAATCTATTAACAGTATTGAAAATTAATAATTTCAAATAAACCTAACGATATTAACAGTATACAGTATACTGTTAATAGTATACAGAAGAAGAAGAAGAAAAAGTGTAAGTGGGTGCTGACTGCTGATTGAGAAAAGAGGAAGCGGCAGAGGCAGCGGGAGCCGGAGCGGGAGTGTAAGGAGGCAACGGCAACGGCAACGACAACGGCAGCGGGAGTGTAAGGAGGCAGCGGCAATGACAGCGGGAGCGGGAATGTAAGGAGGCAGCGGGAGCGGGAGTGTGAGGCAACGGCAGCGGGAGTATAAGCAGGCAGCGGCAACGGGAGCGGCGACAGCGGTTGCAAGCAGCGATAGCGGCGAGCAGCGGGCGCGGGAGCGACAACGGCAACGAGCAAGGTTAGGGTTGGGCAACGACAGCTGATATCGGTTTTAGTTGATTCGATTGAACCAACTAACCACCGAAGACCGAACCAGACCTAAAATCCTGGTTCGGTCGCCTGGTTTAACCCAGGCGCTCGCCCGAAGCGCCCAGCGCCTGGGCTCGGGCGAGCGCCCAAGCGGCGCCTCTTTGAAGCGCACCGCCTGGAAGTTTAGCGAGGCGCTCGGGCCTCGCCTCGCCTCGCCCGAGCGCCTTTTTAAATCACTGATGGAAACTACAAAAACTCTTTAATGCACTCAAACAAACTGAAGACCCTGATCAAAACCAATTACAATAAAGAATTTGATCATAGTTTGTATTTAACATGAACCTTTTAACTATCATATCCACAATATCGAAGGTCATATACTAATTCCACAAAAGAAAAGCATTATCGTATTCTGCAGATGGTTTGGTTTCTCAACCTAAGTCATGATGCCACAAGGAAGCCAACCTACAATATCAGATCACCTATAACAAACAAGCCAATTTAATTTAAGTTCCACATTATACCTCAATTCCACAAGTTATATAGCTAAGCATACCTTATTAAGAATATCCAATAGTCGACAATGAAACTAATAGCACAAAAACTTGTGATACTATTTATACTAATTTCAAACATAGATCTAGTTAAAATTCCAAGGATTCATGATCTAGAACCCAAAGAAGAGAACAGATTCACATTCCTCAAGCTTCACAAATTAAAATTTTCAATAAATATGGATCAGCATAAAATATCTCTACAATAAGATGAAATATTACCTTGATTGTGCAATCCAATAGAGAAACAGCGAGGTGCTTAGAATTTGGACTGATACAGACTGCCAAAACATCATCATTCATTTTCAAAGTTCTTACATTTGTCACAGTTAGTTGTTTAGAGTCCTGCAAAGGTTAGAAATGTCAACAGAAAGACCATGACATTATGATGCAAGCATCAGGCATTTCTCATGTGTGCCCTCTGAAAGTTCTATACATGCATTATAAACCTGTAAAACCACAAGAAGATAAATTGGGTATTTCTTATTCTAAAGAGATAAGCAGGACGATCTCAATTTTCATAACTTATATTATGACAAAGAATGACCAGTACAAATACATTTTTTTGTGCAAATATAAAGTTTTAGGTGTTAGCAATTTTAAGCAATAACACAATATAATTATAATAGAAACAAACACTTAGAACAAAGTCATCTAAAGTAATGTGTTCACTATTTTCTTTTTCTTTTTTCCTATTTTTAAAGAGTCTCTCACCGTCAGTAAGTGGACTGGTATAGTTATTTCAGTCATTTATTAATTGTAGTGCCAAAAATTTCCTATCTTTAGACCTTAATTAGCCATCTCCGCTTGCGCTTTACCTACAATTTTCATTTTTAAAATTCAAATCCTCTTCTGCTTATATAAGATGTTAATATTCTGGTGTCTCACGAAGATGATTGTATCTTTCAGTTGGTCATGTCTAGCTCAATTAAACATCTTTTTGAAGCATTAACACAGCCAAGTAATCTAACAATAGTTACTTAACATATGAGAATATCAGTGGTTTAAAAAACGCTAGACGCCAAAAGGCGCTAAGGTCCAAAAACGTCCGAGGCGCTAGGCGCTCGTTCGAGCAAAGCGAAGCGCTAAAATATAAAAATATATAATATAATTAATAAATATAATTATTTAAAATTTTAAATAAAAATATGCTATTAAATTAAGAAAATTAATAGTATTAAAATTAAAATAATATATTATTAATCTAATAAATACAAATATTATTATTAGTATACTGTTAACAGTATATTGTATACTGTTAACAATATACAGAAGGAGAAGAAGGAAGAGGAGTATAAGGGGGTGCTGACTAAGAAAAGAGGAAGCGGTAGCGACAGCGGGAGCTGGAGCGGGAGTGTAAGGAGGCAGCAGCAGTGGGAGTGTAAGGAGGCAGCGGCAACGGGAGCAGGATTGTAAGGAGGCAGCGGCAGCGGGAGTGTAAGGAGGCAGCGGAGGCAGTGACAGTGGGAGTGTAAGGAGGCAGCGACAACGGGAGCAGGAGTGTAAGGAGGCGGAGGCAGCGGCAGCGGGAGTGTAAGGAGGCAACAGTAGCGGGAGCGAGAGTGTAAGGAGGCAGCGACAGCGGGAGTGTAACGAGACAGTGGGAGCGGGAGTGTAAGGAGGCAACGGTAGCGGGAGTGTAAGGAGGCGGAGGCAGCGGCAGCGGGAGTGTAACGAGGCAACAGCAGCAGGAGTGTAAGGAGGCAGTGGCAGCAGGAGCGGCGACAGCGGCAATAGCAGCAAGCAGCAACAACGGCGAGCAACGACAGCGGCGAGCAGCAGCAGCAGGAGCGACGAGCAGCGGGAGCGGCGAGCGGTGACAGCGGTAGCGAGCAGCGACAGCGGCGAGCAACGGGAGCGGGAGCGGCAGTGGCAACGAGCAGGGTTAGGGTTGGGCAGCGACAGCTGATATCGATTTTAGTTGGTTCGATTGAACCAACTAACCACCGGAGACCGAACCAGACCTAAAATCCTGGTTCAGTTGCCTGGTTTAACCCAAGCGCTCGCCCGAAGCGCCCAGGCGGCACCTCTTTGAAGCGCGCCGCCTGGAAGTGAAGCGAGGCGCTCGGGCCTCGCCTCGCCTCACCTCACCCGAGCGCCTAGGCGAGCACCCGAGCGCCTTTTTAAATCACTGGAGAATATAATCTCAAATAAAAAATAACAAAGGAGATAGCCCTAAAATAACAAAGAACTCTGAGCAAAAATTACTTTGAATTATTTCGATTACTAAAAGGGTCAGGATAGACAAGTGTCATTTTTCTCTGAACCATTATAAATTTTAGCTCAATGTCCAGTAAATTCTCCTATCTAAAACTACTTAACCATCTCATATAAAACTTATGATATTAATCAACCTTTTAGGACTCAAAGAACTAAGAGACCAGTAGAAGTCAATAACTTGGTTTGCACCCCAACCTCTCATCTGGACAATAAACACCTTGTATTACCATGAAAGTGCAAATCCACAAACAAAGAGCATATTCATGGACACAAAAAACAATAGAGAAATCGATAGGCCACTATATCCTCATCTAATCATTTGCCCACATCTTAAACAACTTATATTCAGCCCCAAAAGCACAAATGCTTCACTTTCTCTAGACAAAGAACAGCAAAAAGATATTCACCCTGAGAGAATGCACAAAGAATCCAGCCTTATAAAGCATCATTTAAATAAAGATAAAAATTAAAGGATGATGGGACTGCTATACATTTTCAAAGGATAAAGAACTCGAATAAGACCTGCTAATGTAATCTGAAAAGCAGACCAAACTGATTTGCGGAAGAAACAGATCAAAATGTATTCCTAGATGGTTAAGATATTACAACTTGTTGTAAGTTCCATTCAAAGATGTTGCTGACATTTGGTGGAAATTCCAAATCACAATATCTCTACATTACCAGAAACGAGGTTCAAGGATACTGACTAATTGGGCAGTAAGATTACTGAACACTTTATTATCAAGTATTAATCTTACTCAGGACATCTAAAACCAAAGAACAAAAGCTAAAATTCTTCAACAATAAAATATCCTTTGCATAGCTAGGAAACTCACATTAACTGGTTTTTGCAACAGCTGATACTCCCAGAACTTAACATCATGGTCTGCACTCCCTGTGACAAAGCCACAGCTGCTGACAGAACCATTTTCATCTGGAATTGGAACAATCGACCTGATGGAACCTGCATGAGCTTCTATCACTTCAATGGAGCTCCCACTACCAACATCAAGTATCTCCAAGGTTCCACTCTTTGTTCCAACAAGTGCATAACGGTTTCCAGGTACAAAAGAACTGCACAATCCATAGCCAGACTCGATTGTGCGAAGGCAGACTCCTGTACTGGGGTTCCAAATCTTTACAGCATTATGACTTGTTGACATCAGAAGGTCATTATCTGAGCTAAGTGTAACGCTTCTAATATCTGAGCGATGTCCATGAAGCTCAATTGAGTACAATTTGGATATCTTGTCTGTATCAATTAAATGAGTCTCTAGCATGTTATTGTTCAAGGACAAGGATAATGTGGCAAGACCAACTTTAGGAACATTAGGACAGAATGCAATAGAGCAAATTTTCTTGCTTGCACGAAAGGTTTGAAGAAGTTTAAACATATCTGACACTGCAACAGTTGGATGCTGAAGTTCCTGGCTGGATAAAGAATCTACAAACCCTCCATTTTCATTATCTACGACCATTGCTTTTGCCATAACCTTTTCTTTCTTTCTGTGAAGCCTCCGCTTAGCCTTGCGCATTGATTCCACATCATCAAGAACTCGATATATTTCCACACTTTTCCCTGCCACTTGACATGCCAAAAGACTTCCAGACTTGTTAAATCTCAGGGTCGCCACCCTATCCTTGTTCTGCCTCTGGATTTCGCCAAATTGCTTCAAAATTTCCCATTTGCTCTCATTCTCGACCATCTCAGCATTGGTTCTAATTTGATAAAACCGGAGCTCAGTGTCTGCTGACCCAGATACCAAAAACCTCTCCTTTTGGTCAACATCCAGAGACCATACTTCGCTGTGGTGCCCACTCACAATCTGTATGCAATGCTGCATTTCAAGATCCCATACCCTAATGAACTTGTCCTTGGAGCAGGTCACAAGCTTCTTTCCAGAATCAAGAAATACAAGGTCTGTCACCTAAAAAGGAACACCAATATCAATCAGAACCAGTAAATCAAGCTTCAAGTATTCGGAAAAGAGAGGTCTTTAGACAACAAGGACATGCCTGGTCTCGGTGACCACGAAGGCGAAAGAGTCCGGCTTCACCAACCACATCCCACAGGATGACATCGCAGTCCTTGCCGCCAGAAGCAAGAAGGGAGCTGAGGTGATTATAGCGGAGGGCAGTAACAGCTGATTTGTGGCCATTGAGTGTCGCCTCGCATGTGGCCTTTTCGTAGTCCCATAGACGAATACTACCATCGGCGTGCCCACTTGCGATCTGAAACGACAGCAAAATGTCAGAGTTATGCAGTAGCGACGAACTGGTCCGGGATAAAGGAGAGAGCGAGGAGAAACCGGTTACCGAAGTGGATGAGGATAAGGGGGAGGCCGCAACGGAGGTGACGGCGAGGGTATGGGAGGAGCGGGAGGAGGGGGAGAAGGTCTTGGAGGCGAGGCCCTGCTTGAGGTTCCAGAGGGCGAGCTTGTCGAGGGCGGGGGCGAGGAGGTGCAACCCCGAGGGATCGTAGGTGATTTTGGAGTCGAGAGAAGCGATGACGCCGAAGCCGAGGCCCGGCTCGTAGCGGAGGTAGGACTTCACCATCGCGGCCGGTAGCTCGAGGGCAGCGGAGCCGCCGGAAGGCGGCAGGAAGAGGAGGAAGAGAGGTCTTGCGCGGAGGTAGTTCGAGGGTTAGGGTTTTGAGATGCACGCTGCGAGAGGGGATGATGTAAGGAACGGTCCGATTGCGGGCCGAAACCAAGATATCTTTACCCGACCCAATTGGTGCCTACCGGGTCGGATCATAAAGCGTTCGATTTTTCTGAAAAATTACAGAATTCTAATAAATGTGCATTCAAATCCAAATATTTTAATTGCCATGGCTTTTCGGATCCAATACTTGAGAATCCATGTATGACATTTCGGTCCGAACCGGGTCCAATTGTGATGGCTTATTAGATTCGCTTCGAATCCAATAAGAGTTCGAGCCCCATTACAAGCGTCTAATATGCCTTCTGCGAGTCTTCTGGTTGCAAGCGTCGTTTTGGATAGAGTTGCTTGTTATAACGAGACTTGATAGATGATTCTGTCGAGATAGCAGTAAAGTTCATGCAGAAATCATGTAAAATCTATAGAAAAATAGACATGAACATTAGCAGTGGGGTTCTCAAGGTAGACAATTTATTCATCAACCAAAGCCAATCTACTGACATCTGCGGAAGAGACTTCGATTACAAGCGCTTAAACCATTCTTCCTCGGGGAAGAAATCTTGGGAAGATTTCAACAGACAAAATCCGATTTTGATAGCACAGACATATCTTCACTTTTCATGAAGATAAGCCTGCAGTGCCGGTCCGGTGAGCCTGCAGATCCTCCACATGGGCATGACCTCGGCGCCCATGTCCTCGTAGAACTTGATGGCGTTCACGTTCCAGTCGAGCACGCACCACTCCACCCTCCCCATCCCCATCTGCGCCGCCTGCCCCGCCACTGCCGCCAGCAGCATCCGCCCCAGCCCCCGCCGCCGCCAAGTCGCCCGCACGAAGATGTCCTCTATGTACAGCCCCGGCTTCGCGAGGAAAGTGGAGTAGTTCGGGAAGCACAGTACGAAACCAGCCACCACTATGCCCTCTCCGCGCGGCGATGCGAACTCCGCTGCCTCCGGGTCCTCCACGGCGGACTCCAGATCGATCCGCCGGACGATCGGGGCGAAGAGGGGGGCATCGCTGTCTTCGGAAAAGGGGGAATGGGAGAGCTCGAGAATGAGGACGGTGAAGGAGAGGAAGGGGGGAAGCGCGGGGGAGGGGAAGAGCGTGTCGGAGAGGGAGGCCTCGGTGGCGGAGAAAAGGTGGGTCAACAGCTCGAACTCCGCCATCTGCCGGATGAGGCGGTGGATGTTGGGCACGTCGCGTCGGTCGGCAAGCCGGATTCGAGCCCAGACGCTGGCGGCCGCGGAGGACGACATTGCCGTGCGGTGGTGGGTGAGATGGAGGATAAGACGAAGGAAGTGGGTTTCTGCTAGGGTTGAGTTGATGCTTGTTTGCCTCTTAAACAGGTCTTTTGTGTGATGGGCTTCGGGCCGATTTCAAGTGCGCCGTTGGAAATTTCGTGAGCCCATTTCTAGGAAGAGTAGTCGATAAGCGTGCAGTGGCTTCAACAAACAATGCAATTGCGTAGATGACAAAAACGCTACAAGTTGGATCCTGGAGTTCATGCAAATATGCAGCCGCAACACAGAACAAGAGCCATCAGGAGAACCAAACGCAAGACAAGACAATTCACAAAAACTAAAAGAAAATGCGACAACAATCATTTGAGCGATGAGAAAAACTGCAGAGGATGAGAGCCCAGACCTTCAAAAGAGACATTTTTACATACATTATGTCTACCAGTGGCTTTTCAGCACTGTGATCAGTCATACAAGAAGACATTAGTGAAGAAGAGACGACTGGAAGAATTTGATGAAACAGAGTAAGCTCTAAAGAATAATGGTACACTGAGTTGGATTGCTCTTAGTGCAATACAAAGATCAACAATGAAGGTTGCAATATCTCAGACAAAGGTATCAGTCTGTAAAGAGATACCGCAATATTAGCAAACTGTGGACTCCACTTGAACTTCTAAAAGAAATATCTTAACAATTCCTTCCTAGAGGAAAATCTAAAAAGTACAAGCAGGCTTAATGAGATCCACAACTATCCAGCAGAAGGTGTGGCATAATGCCCAGTTTTCCTTCTGTGGCGGCTGAAATCAGAAACAAACCTGAATGTCTGCCCGCACCCAGAGAACTTACACTTGTAGGGACGCTCTCCCGTGTGGACCCTGACATGTTCGGTCCTGGCCCATGCCCACTTGAAGGTCATGTTGCAGCCCTTCCATGGGCATCTAAGAGGTCTATCATCATTGTGAACACACTGATGGCGCACTGCATATTTGTGACAGCTAAATCGCTTTCCACATCCCTCAATTGTACAACGGTCACGCTTGTGCAGTGAAAGTTCTCCCCTTGTCTGAAAACTCATAAAACAGCCTTCAATGTCACACTTGAAAGCCTTGCTCTTATCTTCCCTTTGCACAATCGAGTTTCCTGGTCTTCTCCTTTCCTTGATTGCAGAGCTCTTCTCCAGTGTAAATATGTCAGCCTTGACATCCGTTTTGAGCCAACTCCGTGGCCTCAACCCCTCACAGGGGCTTCGTACAAAGCAAACTGAGCTATCCTGACATCCTGTTGACTGCTCTTGTTGTCTCTTTCTTTTGTTTCTCCGCCTCACATATTGTATAAGATCAACTCTTGCTGGATTATGATAATTTGGTTGTGCACCATTCAGCAAAGAAGAGCTATCAGCAGAAACACAAAGCTCCGTTGAATGCACTTCCTGCATAACAGAGCCTTCGGCCATTGATATGGCAAGAATCTCAGCCAACTTCATTGAATGGTTAAAAGCAGTCTTCCCATCAGCTTTAACAAAGGCTTCCATTTCATCAGCACAGTGAGCTTTCTGCGGCATTTCAGAATTATTAACAACCAAATTATTGACAGCAAAGTAGTTTTCACTCTTAATGATATTTGCACCATCAGCAATATGTTCAGTCCTTGCCAAAATCTCTTGCAACATTTTACTACCATCATTTATGCTAATGTCAGGCATCCTGTTTGAATTAGCAGGATTGGCAACCATGTCATCACCTAAAGGTTCCTGGACAGACAGATTATTAAGCTGTATTTCAGAATTAATTAGTGATTCTGATAGACAAAGGAACTGGTCGTTGGACAACGAAGTTCTGCAACTATCCTCTAAATTCTCCAAAGAATAATGGAGAGGTCTTCTACCAGTCCCACAAGCTGCTTCCCTATTTCCATTGAACTCATCTCCTAGATTAGCTGTATCCACAGCACTAACTTGTTGAGCTTCAGAAGTTCCACTTTCTAAAGTCAATCTATCTGCTAAAATTTCTGACTTATCAGAACTACAAAACTTGTCTTGTGATCTATATGCTTCTTCAAACCCTTGACTTAGTTCCGGATCCACAAAAGGCTGTTTGCTAGCCGACTTTACAGGTTCACAAACTGCTTCCTTGAAGCTTAGCCCATCGGAGTGAATCTCTAACCGTTCAGAATATCCAACATCTGACTCATGACTTGCAGGCAATTTTACAGGAGGAACAGACTCACTGTATGTGGTAACCCTCAGCGTTACCCAACTCACTTGATGCATTTGAGGACATTCAGCAATCAGGACAGGAATGGTATGCAAATTATCGCCAGTATCATCTTTCATTTGACTAATAATTTTGTTTGCAGAACCACACTTTCTTCTTTCATCACCTCTGTCATCAACCTTAACAATTGTGTTACCACTGCCTGACTCTTTGAGCATACCTTTTATAAGGAGACTATGATGCATAGTTCCTATCTGATGTGGTTCAAGGCTACGATTAACTTCTGTGACTTTGGCAGAATCAGTTATTGAATTTGTATTCCCATCTATTAGCTCACACTTTTCATTATTTGCATCAAATTGTGATTTTGACTGGATCACACCAACTACCTTGTGGGGAGTACGAGATTTTCTAGAAAGCCACTTGAGATTTGAAACAGCTGTAGGAGAAGGATCAGAAAAGATTCCACCTAAGGATAATGTGAGATGTTCTTGATTTGATGGAGACTGCTTTTTCAGCTTCGCACAGTATCTCAGATTCAGACCCAATTTTGACGTCCAATCATTCCCATCTTCTTCATGTCCTTCATCATCAATTGAGACATTGATTAAATCCAAATCTGACGGGGATGCATTCACCAGTGGGACATCTTCACAGTTAAACCGGATGTTGATTTCTTCAGCAATAGATATGGCAAGTGCTTTTATTTTGAGATAGTCTGCAAAAACAAAATAACAGCACCATAAGAAATCCTGCTTATATCACTATAAGAAAGCAAATTCAGTAAGAACAGAAAATAACTTCTGGTATTTCAGAAAAAAAATTATAGCTATTTATAAGGAGATGAAATTATCTGACTCTTGAATAAAGATGAACTTTATTCCATGAAAAAAATAAAACGATCTATAAGTATCAACAGCATGAACTTTTCAGTAGAGATGTCCGTCGCTCGTATATGTTTTTTTCATCACTGGACTCTCAACAATGAAATCAAAGACCATGTATCATACACAACCATTCATTTTTCAAGATATAATTAGCAGTACTAATAGGAATTCAATAATGTTTCACCGACGCAAAACCATTCCAACCTTTTGCTCTGCAAGAACAAACTACCACAGTTACAATACATTTCGACCAGTACCAATTGAAGAAGACATGGCATACAAGAACAACAGCTTTAAAAATTGTAATTGGGAAAATTTAGAAGAAAATGATAATAAATGTAACATATATATTAATGCTATCAATGCATGAATTCACACCTGAATGGCATATAATAAGCACACGCACACCACCCTTGCACCGTAACAAATCCTCAATTTCAAGTGCATGCTGTAAGCAGAAGATTCGTGGTCTTAGAAATCCATTGCATGTATTCCAATTTGAAATCTCATCTGAAGATTTCCTCTCTGGCACATCATCTGTTTCATCAAGAGAAATGTTACCAGGATAGTCTCCTTGACATGCTTTATTGTCAACCTCTGAATGACTTGTCAAAGATATATGTGGCCCAGGTTCTTTCATTTTGTCACAAGAATGTTGTCCACAGACAACTGTCGTTTCATACGTACAACTACAATGTGTTCTCTTTGCTTGAACACATCCATCATTCTTATCTTGAGCTCTCAATTCGTGTATCTGACGCTCCATTAAACTCAGAATCTGTTGATGTTCCTCATTGCTTGCACAATTAACAGGCAATGAGTTGCCGGTGGATAGTTTTTCAGGTCCAATCAAATGACAAAATCTGCTTCTCTCAACGTCTTCACCAAGCATATCTGGTGTAGTGTCTGATAAAGATTCTTTGACAGCACTTCGGTTTTCAACCAGAGAAACATTGACCGTGTCCTCATGTGAATTAGATCTGGCATCTGGATTTCTCTGCTCCTCAACACCAACACATTCGTCTTCGTGATTATTTCAAAAAATGAAGCAAGTTAATACAACTCCATATGAAAATCAGAATTTCTGTACTTAACAATCATACAATAGAGATCCAGAAAAGTGGCTAACAGTACATTGTCAATGTAACTTAAACATTCTCTCATCAAGCATCATTCTACTTTGTAATATGTCTTGCAATCAATAGTTAAGATTCAATTGCAAATAATGATAAATATGCCAGAGTATAAAGATGTCAACTAGTGATTGGGTGGAACATATTCTATCTTATGAATTTTGATGAACTATAGTACAAGTATATAATAATGAGTGCTTAAAATATATTCATAATGCAAGTGCATGTCCTAGGTTGTTATCTAGAGGCAAAGAATTTTTTTATGGTGAATGCTTATGTCACTCAAAAATGGGTTTTGTAACAAAAACACAGTCATCACACTAACATGCTAATCAACACAAGAAATACGTCCGATGCTGGAAAATGTCTTTAACTTCCCTACTGTGTGTCTACAAAATTTACAGCTCTACTGGCCAAAAAGACAAATTACCTGAATCCAACTTTTTGGCAGTACAGGGCTGGCAGGAAGGAAGGTTCAAATTTTGTGACATATCAAGGCTTGGATGAGATTCATTAGAATTTGCAGCAATAATATTTCTGGATGCTTTTTCAGAAGGTTGCAGGATAGCCATAAATGGATAGCCAAGAATTCCACAGGCAACACATGCCAATGATCCAGAATCAACATCAAGACCAAATGGTAGATCAATTTCATCAACATCCATGATGCCCTCAGTATTATTGCAAGCATTCTCATTAGCCTCTGAAAATAAAGCAGAATGAGATGATCTGCCGGAAAGATCGGCAGTTGTTTCATGGGCATCCTGAGTACAGCAAGCATCTCCTTCATAGTCAAGAGAATCTTTACCCATGGATTGACACT